ATTTCATTCGAAAACAAAGCAAACATAGAACCAATTATTATAACTTATAAGCTTTCTGTTTGTCGCGGAAGTGTCGAATTCTAGTACAGTATATGAATACTTGCATCACAGGGTATACCTACCACATTGGTACGAATGTACATACTACTTTCATTTAGGCTCTGATATAAATATCTTTACGTAATATTTATTAATATAATTGGTTAGCTAGCTTTACTACCAATGTGAAATGCGTTCTAAAAAACTTTATAATTCATCGGATACCATTCTTCAAAACTACAGTTAACTAAATATCTACCAAATCTAAATCAAAGTTATCCAATGTACTATTTTAATTTATAGATATTCTTATTTTTAGTAACACATGTTATAAAACTTTTATAACATACTCTATAGCTAAGTGTATTTATTTAATTGAACAAAATATATATTTTTGGGATCGGAAGTCGTATCATGAAATTTTTGAAATTCTCTCTTGATCATAATTCAAAAGTAGTTATAAAAATATGTAATGAATAATATCACGACCCTCATAACAAAAAGAATAATTTTATCAAAAAAGAAAAAAAACAATATTATAATTGAAAACAAAAAAAAAAAAACTATTTTTCAAATGTTACAATTTTTTTTTTTTTGTGAAATAGATAACGGACTTAGAAAGTGAAGCCCAAGCCCATAAACCTGACAAGTGACACGGCACTAGATGGACATAATCCTCAGTAATTAGATTTGCTAATGTTCCCATTTTTCCCGAACTTTTGGGTATCCAGAGATTTGGATATATCTATTTTTACTTATTTTTTTTTTTTTTTTGGATGCATGTTCAAGTACAATAGTTACAAATTTGTTTTGTTACTAGCTATATTCTTGGCATTGAAATTTCACGTTGTTATTTTTTTTTCAAATCCACGCAACATATGAAAGGGTTTTTGGAGGTGGACACAATATAAAAGGGGAAGAGACTAGTTAAAAGAGGGTTTGGTGTTTGGATTTTCAGATTTGGTGTCTGAATTGAGACAGGGCTTAATACTGATTTGGGCCAACACAAAGAAAAATCAGATGAACCGCTGTTTTCTCTCACGTGAACCATGTGAAAGTTTCTTCATAAGATAAACCATATGGTACCAGTTAGATAAGAACTTTCATGCGTTTGGTGACTATAAATTAAGTCTACAATGTAACATTAATACATTATCCAATAATACATTAAAAAGTTTATAATTATTGTAACATGAGTTAAGAATTAGGCGTATATAACTTCATAACGATGAGCTGTTCTGTTGTATATAACTAATTTCGTTTAAAGTAATTTTTAGAGACAAGCAACTGAAAAAAAAAAACGGATTTTTCATGTGGCATTGGTGCATTGGACTTTAGGCTCAATGGTAAGCAGTGGTGAAGTTTATGATTTATCTTGTTTTTGGCATAAACACATTATTCTCGACATGCATGCATGGACATTTCATTTATCGATAAAATGATGGATGATGTGTTTATTTGTTATAAGTGGCGTTAGTATATGATTTGTTAATGTGTCGCATCCCACGTTGTTAGTGAACGACATTGGATGTTATCGTTAAGCCAAACCTTTGTCTGTTATACCCAAATATAACGAACATCCAAGGATCTTCCCAATCATGTTTTCTTATATTATATGATACATGTTCTAGCTACTTGTATGTTTACCACTTGGTGGTCTAGAGAACGAGATGGTAAACCTATAAGACAAGTTACATTACTTTTTGGTTAATATTCGAATTTTGTTCATAAAAGTCGTGGTATTTGGTTAGTCTTTGTTTGCTAGTTCAACAGTTAGTTGATTTTTATGTAGTTTGGTCGGTCCCAGTTTCTAGAATTAGCTGTAACAAGAAAAAATTATAGAAAATTAAAAGTATGATAATAAACATAATATATTTACGTTTTCTTTTAGTTTTTATTTTTGACCAATAATATATTTATGTATTATTTTCGATTTTTTTTATAAGATTGTGATTTTTTGCTTTTAAGTGGACGGAGCCGACCAAATATTGCAGTGATTAACAGTGTACCAAACCCTTCCTAAATTAGAGAAAAAAAACATTGATATCAAACCATGAATTATCAAACCAAAATAATAATATATTGATCTATTAATAAATAAACCTCTGTCTAGTAATGATCATACTAATATGTATTTATTTGTTTATCACTATTCTAAGAGACGTATTTTAATGTACCTTATATAGAGAATAGCTAATGACAAGAGACAACTTTTAATTGGTTTCCTTAAAAAATGTAATGCTTTACTCTATTGATTAACAGTTTTAAACAGAATTAGAATCCGAATTTTTCATTTTTGTTTTTTCATTATAAATATAACTCTAGTACGGCAAAATCTAAACTACAGGTCTTTTGTCTTTTACATGATTTTACCCATCTAGTAAAATAGTTTAAAATTCAAGAACCATGTATTACATTATACTTTTCCCTGATATGTTCACTAAGATGTGAAATAAGTCAAACTTTTCACCTTTTCCCGATAAATCTTTCACTTTTATTGAAACACAGTGATTGGAAATAGCGAAATGCTCCAATAGTTTACAAACATGAAACCAATAGTTCGATACAATTTTCATAACCAAGTCTGGGGAAACTACTTGGAAATTTTTGTTACCATTGAGTGTTATGTATATTTTAACATGAATTACAAAAATTAAATTCCAATATAAATTGAATGATCCTGTCAAAGTTACAGAGCTCAGTTTATGTATAACAATATCTTAGCTGTGATTTATGTAACAATACTTCCTATATATTCATAGGCTGCCGCGCATGCTTTCGCCAACAAAGACAAAATGGTACACCAAATTCAATCATATTATTTTCACATTAAAGTCAAGGATTTGGACGTTAATTTTTGTAATTTTTTATAAAGATTAAAATAAAATAAAAAGCATGCTTGTTGGTGTAGTGTAGGTTTGTAGAAAAAACAACACATAGACAACCTTTGATTGGTTCGATGTTGCCGTAATTATGTGATATGTCACATCCATTTTTCGCCGAAGATGTGACAATGATGTGTTTAATGCAAATTCTCTTAATTAAAACCTTGGTTTTTTTATTTTAATTTTGGAAAAAAATAGTACGAAAATTTGGTGATCAACGTTAACCAATATAATTAATAAAAAGAAGGCATTAAAATTTACCTAAAGACATTACATAAATCACAATAATACTTTCTTGCACTCTTGGAAAACCTCAAATATACTATAACGAGAACAAAATGCGTTTTGAAATAACGAACAAGAAACATTGCGATTATGGTAATAATAATATGTGTGTTCGAGTAAAAAGGGTAGACCAAATTGTCAACTCTGTAGTCCCCCCACCACTATAGATGAGAGACATTGATTGAGATCCATCGCACACCTTCTTGTCTCCTCCAAACCTATATGCACACAATTATTAACTAGTTACTTGCTGTATATTCTAGACCATTCTGTCTGATAGTTTTTTCTATTGGAGTTCTATGTTCTTACACTCGTGATTAATACAGTGTATAAAGTCATGTTTGGATATAGTTTAAGCAAAATAAATTACGTAGCAACCTTAGAATATTTTAAAATATTTAGGTTTGGATTTAGTCACAAGATAGACAATTATATATAAAAAATAAATGATCTGAATGGATAGGCAAACTATGAATGTGCCATATCACTATTTAAGTTTAGTATTATAATTGTAAATCAATTATCATAGAAATTAGCATGTAAAACAAACATACTAGAAAGAAAGAAAAAAAAAAGTGTATAAGAGGTAAAATATTAAAATACTGTTGTAATGGTTGAGATTTTAAAGCTTTAATAGTGTTTTTGACGTACTAATTACATCATGGTTGTTTATTTATCTTGTTTTAAACAAAATTTCGAGTGTCGTAATTCTTCTTTGTTGCTGTTGCATTTTCAAGCCCTAGGGTGTAGACGATTGGTGAATTACGTCTATAGGAAGTGATTGAGAGAAAAAAAAAAGTTATAAATAGGGTAAAAATAGAAATTACTTGTAACTTTTAAATTGAGTGAATGAGAAATTTTTCCTATTTTATTTCCTCTTTTATGCTTGTCCAACATTTTTACTGACCTATTTCAACAAGATTCAAAGAGATTTTTTATCCACAATTATCCTTTAGTCAGAACTCAGAACCATGTATTTTCAAAACCAAAGAAGAAAAAAACCATATATGTATATTAGGGTGTGTGTTTTATATGAAAGACAAAATTGTAAAGGTCGATTTGGTGTATGATCTGTCTTATTCATAAGTCCCAATGAAGACAGTCCTTAATCTACGGTTAGGTGGTGGCTGCTCACCTTCCTTCTTCTTCCCTTTTCCTTTATTTTTTTCTGTCTTCTTTCACATCTAATCTTTTTTCTTCATTTAACACAAGTCTTTAAAGCTCTGCAGACCAAATATTTCGAAATTTAGTTTTGTGATAATGTTAAAAATTCATCAAAGTCCAAGAAACGGGACTAATCTATCTTTAGTTTGGTTTACTATCTAAAGTGGATAATTCATAAATTAGTCAAGTGCCATATCTTTACATTCTCTAGTATGCATGTTAGCATTTATAGTTTTATACATAACGTTACATTATGAATATACATTGTATAAAGACTCATACGTGTTAAATTATAAAACTACGACACAAAAATAATATTAAAATACGTGAGTGGTTATATTTTTAAAAAAAATTGAAAATCAAAATAGTAGAAATGACATAGATGTGATATTAAAATTTTACAAAATGTCAAATAAAAACTTTTAAAAAAAATATATAATTTCAATCATATTAGTTAATTATTGAATAAAGGCGCGTACGTGAAATATATCACCTCAATAAAATAACAGTAGAAATGACAGAGAGATAATACAAACTGTCAAATATATATAATTTCTAAGAAAATAAAATTAGTTAAATCAAATCAAAACCCCACCTAAATCATTAAAAAAATCCATTAAAGATCAATATAAGACAGAACACATGAGAGTCCAACTTCTTTCAAGTCTCAGGTCCAAGAAAGAAACAAAGGTTCTGTATATTCATAGTTTAAAGAGAATGAAGTCAATCTTAGCCAACACTTCTCTCGACTCTTCGTTCTCTCTTTCTAAACGTTACTTCAACTGGAAGAAGAAGAAAGTTCAAGAAGACGACGAGGAAGAGGAAGAAGAAGAAGAAGACGAAGACTACAACCACAACGAAGAGAAAATCTTGACCCGTTTCAACTTCTCCTCTGACCCGACCCGACCGGATCAGTTCAGTACCCAACAGATGATGAAGAAGAAAAAGAAAAAGACTATGGAAAAGATCCGTTACGCACTCGGGTTCTCTAACTCGGGTCTTGGTTTCCGGGTCGTTGGTACTTTATTCGGTAACCGTCGTGGACACGTCTACTTCGCCGTTCAAGATGACCCGACCCGTTTACCCGCTGTTTTGATCCAGTTACCAACTCCAACGAGCGTTCTTGTACGTGAGATGGCTTCAGGGTTAGTGAGAATAGCCCTCGAAACGGCGGCGTTTAAGACGGATACAAAGAAGAAGAAGCTTTTGGAAGAGTCCTCATGGAGAACGTATTGTAACGGTAAAAAATGTGGTTACGCGGCGAGGAAAGAGTGTGGAGAAGCGGAGTGGAAGGTGTTGAAGGCGGTCGGACCTATAACAATGGGTGCCGGAGTTTTACCGGCGGCGACGGTGGAAGAAGAAGGGAATGGAGCGGTTGGGTCCGAGAAAGGTGAGCTCATGTATATGAGAGCCAGGTTCGAGAGGGTTATAGGGTCGAGAGACTCGGAGGCGTTTTACATGATGAACCCTGATGTGTCTAGTGGTGGACCTGAGCTTAGTGTGTATTTTCTAAGGGTCTAATAAGATAAAGATTAGTATTATGAAGGTAATATTTGACCATTTTTAAGAATGTGGTTTTGATATATTGGCTTTGTTTAAATGATGATGTTGAATGTGTAATATTGGAATTTTATCTTTAATGATGTTCCAAAAGATTAGTGAGATAAAAAATATGAAATTGTTATAAGAGTAGAAGTTATGTATCATGATGAATCTATTTGTTTTTGTGTTGATATTGTTTTATTGCCTTGAACATAAAGGGTAATTACATCCCAAAATATGGGTATTTGTTTACAAACGGAAGTAGAGATTAGAGAATAAGGTAGACTCATAGACAGGATTTTAGTTCTTGCAACTAAGGCCATGTACATTGGTTCCACACAATAAAACATTTAAATTTAAATCATAAATTGGAAAAAAATGAAAAAACGTATCCACAAATGCGACGTCCCCTGTTCGCTTCCTTTACTATCTGCATGCCCCACTGACACAAACTCAAATTCGGTTCCAAAGCTCTATTGTTCCTAAAACCAGCCAACATTCCAAGAATACATACACCATAATCACATGGAACTCTTATTACCGTAACTACTTTTAAAAAAATCCCCAAACTAATTGATTCAGTGCTGGACTTCGTTAGTTATAATGAATCCACAATTGAACAGAACAAGACACAAACCAATTGAACAAGAACACATAACACAAGCCGATTCATTATAACACAATTGAACAAAACAAGACACAAACCACAAACTGATTAATCATAAACATTAACAAGACTAAAACACAATCTGGTTCATCAGAATCATTGAACCAGAGCAAAATACAAACTGATTTATTAAAAACAGAATATAAAACCTGATGAATAACATAAATAAAAGATAAAAAAAAAACATCTAACTGAAACAAAAGATGAAACAACATAGAACCCTAAATTTTTCTAACATCAATTACAACAGAAATTAGAGCGATTCTTACCATGAAAAACTGATTTGAGCATCATTGAAAGCAATTCACAAATCCCCGATTGCTCATCGTCATCCTTAGAAAATGAGAGAGAGGGAGACAAGAGACGAGAGAAGCGACGTAAAATTAAGGAATTTCTTTTTATTTTTTACTTTTTTTCTCACCCAATCAAATCAAGCCACGTATCGTTCCTTATTCGTTCCTTCTGTCACCTATTTGAGAAACGCTTCTCATACTATTGGAATTTTTATTTATTTTTGTGCCATAAAGTAAGTATCACCTCTATTAGTCTCATCCAATGGAAATGGTCTAAAGAGTCGTAGGGACGGGATGAGAACGAGCGCCGTCTAACATGTATATTCTTAAGGTAATATTTTATATTCAATAAACTTTGTATTAATTTGTGCACAATCATCATTGCTTTATAATCAATGCATATGAACATCAATTACAATACTTGTGCAAAAAATAATTTCAACCAAAACAAAATATATGCATCACCAATTCCATAGTCATTTAATAACAATGATGTAAAACTAATTTTCACTAATTATAAGTTTATAACTGATTGAAATACATAATAAAAAAAATTATGTTTTATAGTCAGACAAATCATTGTTGTTTTCACGGATTTAGATTGACAATATACATATAATTTTGGTACATAGACACCATAAACGCAAAAACTGCTCCAAGAATTTCTAAACTCGTCATTCAAAGAGACAAATTCAGAAACCTCTTAACATACGTTATTATTTTTGTGATTTTACCTAGTTTAAATCTTGTAATAGAGAGAACGTTCTTAAATCCTAAGTGCCTAACCTAGTATATAACTACATATTTCATTTTTGTTAGACAAAAATAAAAATATATATAAATGTGTCCATCCATTTTGATCTAAAAGATTAATAAAAGAGTTTGTGGTATATACTTAATGCAAGTAATGATTAATGTTTTGTTTATTCCCCCTCCACATCTCCAATCAAGTATTATATTTCATAAACAATATATATTTTTTAAGAGATAAAAGAGTGAAAATGTTGCGATGACTTCAATTTATTATTGAGCCAAATCCAAAGAAGCCCACCTCATACGAATAGATGCAGCCACAAGTGGGCTTATGCAAATATCAGTTGATTTACGCATTTGGATCTAATTAAAAGGGATTAGGAAATGATATACAATAAAACTTATATAATCTCAAAATGTTGGGATTATGATATTGAGTTTAGTAGATATACTAATAATTTATAGCGAGATTTGTCTGATTTCATGAACTTCTTAAGAGAATTATTTTGAAATAAATAATTTTTGTCAGAAATCAACTATGAAGTAACAAAACAATTATGATCACATATATAAGATGCGCATCAAAAACTTTTAATATACAAAATATCAGTTTTGAATTTAAACGACAAAGAAAAGTAAATAAGACAAGATTCATAATTTACTATTATATATATATATATATAATATAAATATGTTTTCATAAGTTTATATAATTTATACAATTGATAGGACCAATATTTACTATTTGCAACAAAAATTATTATCTTATCGTATTGTGTCAAATATTACACTTATCCAACTCGAATTTTTTTCTATATCAACTTATAATAGTTAATAGTTAATATAGGTTTTATTGTACTTTGAGAGAAACCATCAAAGATTAAGAGCAGCAAATACACAAGCAAGAAACTCCAGAGCCTACGAATAGAAGTTGTCTTGTTCCTGGTTTGTCGTAATGATATTAGAATATTAATCTCGTGTTTCTCGTACAGTTTGATTTTTTTCGCATAGCAAAAATAATAATATATACGTATAACTAGGTTTCCAACCGAGAAATTACAAATGTGAATGAACTCAATATAAGTATATATGAAGGATGAAAAATAAAAGAACAGAAAAAAAAAAAACCCATCGAATAAAACTACAAGAATCTTCTAAATAAAATTTCATGATTGTCAGAAAAAATTCTAACAGAAAAAAAAAATCAATTAGTGTCTGAGATTATCCACCACAGAGTTGTGCCTCGTGGAAGGTCCCGAAGGTGGTACAAGTACCTTTTTAGATAACAAATGGAACACACGACCTTTGAATCTAAAACCCACAGTGATCTCTTGTCTTGATGATCTTGTTTGAACTATATCCGACTCAGAAACCTTAACTGGTCCGACCCTTGCCGTGGCGTTGTAAGAACCAAAAACCAAGAGAAGGACAATATAAAGAGTCACAAACATGGTTCTGTGAGAAAAATAATGTTCGGAGAAGAAAGAAAGAGAAGGTGGAGACATTGGTTTAGCTATTAGGGTTTTATAAATTTTGGATTTTAAGAAGTTTTGAGCAGTGTATATATATATATGCATATATACTTATGTGCATGATATAGATCGTATATGAAAGTGCACATTATTGTATGTGTGTAAAATGGTCAAACAAGAAAAGCAAAGAAAACAATAAAGAAGTGAAGCGCAAGTAATGGAGTTTTTAGTGTTTTTTGAGAAAATATTTTGAGGTCAACGATATACGATAGTGAATTAAAAAAATGGTTTCAAACAAACACTAAAAAGATAAATTAATATTTACTAAAACTCGAAATGCCGCGTTGGACTTTACGTGGGAGGATGGTGTACGTGATTACCTCAAGTTTGTCTCTGTACATATTGCGTAATTTAGTTTAAGATACTCACCATAACTATCCACACAAATTAAAATGGTTACAAACTTTTCTAAAAGAAATTAGTGTAACGAGAGTATCTTTGGATATTATAGAATAACTTTGAATATATTTCGAATAATTATCTCCATTTGTGTATATTTGTAAACTAGGTTAATTTAGGTTTAACATTCTCCTCTCTATACAAACACATGTATAACCTAACCTTTATCATTATGAGAATTAATACACAATTCTTATGTATTAACTCTCATCACCTAATAATTAGTTCCGTTATTTGAGGTCACCAAACAATTTATCTATCATTAAAAAATAGTTAATCATTCATCTGCAAATCATTTATGCAACTAATTCATAGTAATATTTAACTTTATTAGCACATGATTTTGTTTCTGTTATATCAAACTAATATTTTGTCTAATAAAATTCATTTGCATATGTCATAGTTTACTCAAAAAAAAATGTTAGCTTATCAAATTTGAATCTTCTCATCACTAGAAACTAGTTTGTCTTCTATATGAAGAGATTAATTAGAGGCATGTGGTCTAAGAGCTTATAGTTTAAACCTGATTTATATTAGCACATAGTTTTGCGAAAAATATGTATATAAAAACTATAACGTAATGTGACAGATGGCAACTAATTTTCATGGTAGTATACGAAAATGTCAAACCATGCACACGCATGATCCGTTGGATTTTGATCGTCGTCGACTCAAAGACAGATATTCGCATGGACCACTTAGATTTACACGATTTTAATATGTTTGCATAATTATAGGTTCATTACCATATGAAATAAAGTGGTCTATACTTGTATACTCCAGCTAGCTCCCAAATATGTAGTTTCATTCATATATTTTAAAAGTACTAATTAATAAACTAATTTGAAACGTGTAATGCTTTTGACCCTATTATTAAGATACGTGCTGGTACAAGTGGACAGATTTTTTTTTGTTTGTTTCTATTTATTTCTTTTTAACTTGATTTACTCAAGATTTGTAACCAAACTATACATATAAAAAATTGTGTTAATCAATCATGATACAATCATAGAATGAAAACCATAATATATATTCAAAAGACTCAACAACAATCAAGTGCATGGATGCAATTGCAAGAATATAAATATATAAATTCCCCATTAACAACAAAAAAGAAAGACAAAAAACTATATAGAGCAATTTAATAAATTGGTAGTTACAATTGATATAGTTACAATTGATAATTCGTTGATTAAACCAAACATGAAAAGTAAAAAACGCAAAAAAGAGCCTTTGGTAAGTTTCATGGTTAGGCTACGTTGGCTAACAATGGAGGAACAAAGCCTGAACCTTTAAGTGTCTGCTCAAATATATGTCCCACTCTAAGCAATTTCTCCTAAAACCAATTTACAAAATCATCATTTGAAGCTTTAATCTTATATTTACAGTAAGCAAATAGCTTAATAACTAACCTCATCAAACGCGGCACCGATCATTTGAAGACCAACAGGAAGACCCGACGGACCACCTTCGACTAATCCACAAGGTAATACCACTGCAGGAAGTCCTGCCAGATTCACATTGACCTGCAACAAACCACGTATGATACAAACTATGTTTCGTGTAACGACACTTAAAAGAGAAAGAAACTAAGAGAAACATTTTGTACCGTCATAATATCTCCAGCATACATTGCCAGTGGATCATTTTTCTTTTCACCAATCTTGTATGCAGCAGATGGAGCTGCTGGAGAAATAAGGATATCGTTCTGTTCCAACGCTGCTTTGAAGTCCTTTTGAATTAGTGTTCTCACCTGCATTAACAAGTAAAAGAAAATATATATTTACCGAGCAAAACCGGTTAAATTTCTAATGACTGCATGTGAAGATGCGGTTCACCTGTTGAGCTCGTTTGTAGTAAGCATCGTAGTAACCGGCAGAGAGTGCATATGTCCCCATTAAAATTCTCATTTTCACCTTAGCATCGAAAGTACCTCAGATTATAGTCAAACTAGTTTATTAAATAGATGCAGTAACTTATGAATTCGTACCTCTCCCCCAAATCCTTCTCCACGGGAACGTTCATACAGCCTATTGAGCTCTTCAGCCATAACTTGATTTCCATATCTTCATTTCCAACACAAGAATCAATATCATTTTATATATGCCTGATGCAATCAGCTTTTGAGATTACCTGACACCATCATAACGTGATAAATTCGAAGATGACTCTGATGAGGCAATAACATAGTAAGCTGGTAGTCCAAGAGAGAATGAAGGAAGGGAGACCTGTAAATTTTGGAAACACAAATCTCAGAAACTTTAAACACACAAAACGAAGAAGAAAACACAGAGACAAAATTAAAAGAAACCTCTGTCAATATACAGCCCAATGCTTCTAAGTGAGACGCAGCTTCCTGAGTAGCAGATTTCACTCCAGAGTCAACGCCGTCTTCAAGTGTCTCGCGAATTATACCAACTTTCACTCCCTTCAATGGTTTAGACTCAAAATGATCCACAGAGAGAAACTGAGATTGGAACTCAGGCACATCCTGAACAAGAATATATGTTTTCTGTTTCAAAGCATAGATCTTTCGCTCTGTGTCATTAAAATGCAGGAAACCAAATACCACAAAAGACCTTACTTGTTTGCTACTCGTGGAGTCAAACCTATCATACCCAGAAATAGCATGAAGAAGCATCCCAGCATCAGCTACCGTAGACCCAAAACACCCAATCACATCCAAAGAAGATGCATAAGCCATAAGTCCAAACCTAGAGACACGTCCATAAGTAGGCTTAAGACCAACAACACCACAAAACGAAGCTGGCTGTCTCACACTTCCACCAGTGTCACTACCAAGTGACACCATACACTGTCTTGCTGCAACAGCTGCTGCTGATCCTCCTGATGAACCTCCCGGCACACGAGTCAAATCCCAAGGATTGGCAGTTACCTTTAAACCAAAATCAACCCCAAGATTCAATCCTAAACATCACAAGTTTCCTCAATAACACCATATTCATCTATGTTAACATAACGGTACCTACTTAGTTAACATTGCTGAATCATTAAATCCAAAACCATCACAAGTTTCCCCAATAAGACCATATTCATCTACCTAAACATAAAGACTCCAACTTTGTTAACACAGTGGAATCATTCAATCCTAAACCATCACAAGCTTCCGAATAAAACCATATTCATCTATCTAAACATAAAGCCTCCAACTTTGTTAACACTGCTGAATCATCCAATCCTAAGTTTCCCAATAACACCATTTTCACCTATCCAAACATAAAGGCTCCAACTTTCTTAACATTGCTGAATCAGTTAACCGTAAACCATCACAAGATTCATAAGACGAACCTGAAAGGCAGAAGCTTCAGTGGTACTTCCCATTCCAAATTCATCCATATTAGTCTTACCAACAACAATCCCACCCAATTCTTTAATCTTCTTAATCGCCGTAGCATCGAACGGAGGACGATAATGCTCTAAGATTCTCGAAGCAGCAGTAGAAGGCATACCTTCAGTACATATATTATCCTTAACCCCGATCAAAACTCCGGCGAGAGGACCCAATTCCTCACCTTTAGCGATTCGTTGATCAATCTCTTCAGCATCTTTGAGAACATTCTCCGACACGTGAAGGAAGCATTTGAGCTGTGGTTCAGTGAGACGGATACGAGAAAGGTAAGATTTTGCGATTTCGACAGCTGTGGTTTCGCCGGAGAGGAGTGAACGACGAGTGGTGAGAATCTGAGACTGTGGAGGAGAGATAGTGGAAGAAGATGAAGCAGCTGCGGAGACAATGGGTCTAGAGCTTTGGAATCGTCGGAGAGGGAGGAGTGAGAGAGAACGTGGTGGTTGCAATGTCGATAACATTGCTTCAGTTCAAATGAAAAAAAGTTTTGATTTTTTGAATCACTGATTCATCAAATTGGGAAGATAAGTGAGTGGAAACTGAAATTAACTACTTAAGTTAGTCGTACAGAAGAATGAGTTCTCCGGTGTACCGCCGGAGAAAATGTATCGGCGGCTGTTTGGGTTTTATTAAGGTGAGAGAGGTTGAGAAACGGAGAAAGGATAAGACTTTTTTCTAACTCAAGAAAAGGGGAGAGGATTTATTAATGGGCCTATTAAAACTTAACGGGCCGAAACAGAGTATATATCCATTAAAGCCCAATAAGCTTTTTTTTTTTTTTTGCTTATTATTTTTATTAGTTTGGTGAAAGTATTCGATTAGTCTTTGCAATAATAATCGATCTACCCAATCAATGCTCTATTCGAATGACGTAAAAGTTTTGTATATGACGAACTAATAATGTAAAACTTATCATCATTGGGTAATTGTACTTTGGTTTGTGGAAGACATGTATTAGTCATCTCCATCTCATAATTAGACATGTTTTAAGGATATGACCACTTTAAACAAAAGAGCTGGATTGCATACAGTTAATTAAATCCCCAAATGACTCCATCTAACAAAATCAATCAAATCAAGAAAAATAGTAATATTGTCAAAGAACTTGTAGGGAAATTCATAATTACTACACTTTTTTTACATTACAGAAGTAAAAAAAAAAATTGAAAACCAGAGAGAAATAAGGACAGCAGGAACATTGAACTCAATGGCCAGAGTCCAGAGAGAGGTTTGAGTTTTTTTGATAAATTGTGTAAAGAGAAACCAAAAAAAAAAAAACTCATTATAACTTTTTACTATTGTATCCGTACGGGCACATTGTTGTAACTTGTAACTTGTAAGAATCATTAATTAAAATATCATCATTGTTTTCAATTCCAAGAACTTTTCATTGGATATAATTGATTATTTAATAGGAAAGAAGAAAATATTTATATAAAAAATGATAATAAATTTAAAGAAGTACATGATAAAATGAGAGAAAGAGTTAACAATGAAAATATAGAATTAACCAATGGACATAAATTACAATTTATCATAACCATATAAACTAATAAAAATTGAAAGAAAAAAATATGTTTAAATGATTATGTGATTTATAGAGGAAAACAAAAAAGTTTACTATACATAGGAAAAAAGAACTTGTCAAAGATAATTCAGACACGATTCGACAAGCTTTTATGTATAAAAACAAATTTGATATTTGTCGCTAAAAACTTTTACATGTTGCATGATTCGTAATAGTATAAAACAACAAAATAATTTTTTTTTGTTTTTGCTTTGGGCTTAGGAGTAAGTAAATACAGAGAAAAGTACATAAGCCGTCACCTATGAACAACTAATAATGACTTGTGGAGTTATGAGACAGAGCCTATGAAAGCAACCAAAGAAAAGCAACCAAAGAAAAAAAAAAACAATTAGCTATAAATGATCGTAAAAAGCTTACTGCAAAACTATTTATTAAAAGAAAAAAAAAGAGTAAAAAGTTATTAAAAAAAAACCTAACTGTCTCATCTTAAATTGACCTTCAGTATCTACTTTTAAAATTTTCATAAGTTTAAACATAAAATATATTTACTGAAAGAAGAAAAAAAATATAAAAGAGAGACATTAAATTGTCTTATAAAGAAGTCAGAAAATTCGAGGCAGTACTACACACAACGGCATTGTTTGGGTTTGGTTTGTATTGTCTGTTTGAAACCAATGACACAGCCTGAGACACCAAAGTTAGCTATCTTTGGATATATGCTTCAATGCTTTGCATGCCTTATTAAAGGCACTTCATGTTTCTGCTCACACAACCAAATGCATTAACCTGTATTGTTTAGTATTAAATCTCTATGTGTATAACTAATTCTCATTAATTATCAAATCTATTCCTGTTATATAAATCTTGGTTTTAAAGTTAGCCATTAACAAAACTACAATACATGTCAGAGTTAATCGTTAATATAATTATTTAAAATTACGACAAAAAATATATTTTTAAATATATCTTAATATATTATTGAACAAAAAAAAAATTATTTATTCTAAGATTGCAAAACATATAATGTTATCGAGTTGAAATTTTGGCTTGAATATATTAAAAACAATTATATGATATTACACTAAAAAAATTACTATTTTTAAAAAATATATATCTACAAAAAAAAAATTCTTATGGTATTGTATAAAGGGAAATTTTGTTTTCGAGATTAGTAATTCTCATGATCGTGACACATATCATGTTTATCGATTAGATATTAACATGTGTAAAAAGAAAAATTATATATTAAATTAAAAATCCTAAAAGTATAAGTATTATATTCTTTTATTTTGGAAAGGTATATGAAAATATATAAATACAGATAAAATTATAAAATAAATTATATATTTCGTCTTTCCAAATGAGGAGAGCAAATAAACAAGTCCTTTCCAACTTTTAGAATACCTTTGTCTTTGTACAGATTTATATTATAATTAGTAATTGAAAAAATATTGAGAAATACTCTTTTTGGTGTACTGATTTTTATTTGGTGTACTCATTTTTAAACAAATTCCTTCTTCAAAAAAAAAAAATATATATTATCTTACCAAGTGTCGCAGAATCATAAGTTTGGTACCATCTTTCTTGTTTAAACTGCCGTTAAGAACTATCAAGACTTTGCCGTTACCGATGATGGATAGATTTGTTTTCTTCTTCCCTATGCGAAAGACTTCTTTGTACAGTCTTTTTTAACGTAAATGATAAACCTCTTTACATTATTCCCTAGAGCCGCTGCAATAGCTTCATTCAAAGTGGTGAAGTTACTCTTAAGAACCGTCAAGTCATTGTTGACTATTTATCTCGTTTTTGTGATTTTTAATAAGAATTATAGACATTCTTAAGTTTTGTGTTTTTAAATTAAACTTGCAATATTTTATATTTAAATGATCATTTTCATCTTTCATAAAAACTTTATATACATATATTTTACTTATGTTTTGCTTATATTTCGCACTTGTATCTACGTGTGAAACTAATTTTAATTATTCATCAAATAAATGTATAAACGGTGATATATATACAGTTATAGATGATCATAATGTGTAGACTTAAACTAATGAAAATTCAATTCTAACAAATTATATGTTAATGTAACTAATTAAGTCATCTTGGTATAATGGTAATCCCAAATTGGAGAGTACTCGGTTTGAGTTGCTTTGGTCATCTAGCTGCACTTTAAATTTAGAATATATCTGAACGCAGATCTGAATGTTAAATTTTGTAGGACTAATTTTTGGTCTACAAAACCTTTGTCATGCGACTCATGTCCATAGTTCGTTATATATATATATATTACATCATAGATATTGTAACATCAATATTTGTGTTACCTATCCAAAAGTCTAGAATCCGTTTATAAAAAAAAGCTTAATTAGCCTTAATGTGTTTATGTTTACATTAAAAAAAAGTATTCACATTTTCCCAAGATATGTTTTCAAATGAAAATATAGACTAAAAATAAACACAACTTTTTAATATTTACCATTTAACAAAATATATATGAAATAGTTCAAAAAGGAAAAAAATTGTATATATATATATATATATATATTTATCAATTGTGATTCGTTATTTGGAGAGTTTGTGACTTGTCAAAATACTAAAACATCCGATTTTTTTTCTCTATTCGAATTTGATAGTAATAAAAGGAAAATTACATTACAAACATATACAGTAAAACCTCTATAAATTAATAATGTTGGGACCATGAAAATCTATTAATTTATAGAGGTATTAATTTATCGATAAATTAATAATTATTAATTTATAGAGAGATATTTCTAATTTGGAAAATATTTTCAAACAATATTTAAAAATAAGATTTAATCATGATAATTAGTATTTTATATATTCAATTACAAATAAAATAATAATAATTATGTATTAAAATAGAATGCTAACTATTTTTCATATAGTAAAATATTAGAAATAAAATCTAACAAAAACTAATGTGTTTATATATACATATATTTTGAAAATTTTACCTAATTATTAATTTATAATTTTGATGGGACCATATATTTACAAAGGATTTTCAAAAAAATTATTATCTTATTATTTTATCGAAATATGTCTAAAATTACACTGGTCCCAACTTGGGACCGGATAAATTTATTAATTTATAGAAGTTATTAATTTATCGAGTATTAATTTATAGAGGTTTTACTGTACACAACTTTTATAGATTAAGACAGATGGAGAAGAAACAAGAGACTTGTTATACATCCAAGAAGGATTTGATTTTCTTCTCTTAAGCAATCACACCGACATCAAAATCTATCAAACCAACACATCGATAATATTAACCATCAAACAAAAGTTAAACAAACTACCCAAAAAATAAATATATTATTTCAATCCCCCTAATAATATAATACAACAAGAAGAGAAAGCTCCAAAAGCAACAAATCCCACATGAACCCATTTGACAACACATGTCTAGTAACCATCACACCCATTGCTGATGAACTTGACTCATCCTTCTTCTCCTCCTCCTTCTTAAGGTTGCTCCACGTTTGTTTTATTACCAAACCATCCTCTGTCTTCTCCATCATGCAAGGCTTCAGTTGCTGAGACCCTGACACGACATGCTGACAAAGATTTGGATTCTTTGAAGCCTTGAACCTTGTCCCCATCTTCTCATAGAACTTTCTTGAGAATCCAAGCTCTCCCGTTAGATTGTTTCCGTTGATGTACAGAGCACCGAGACAAGGCAGAGTCTCGAGCTCTTTCGATGGGACTAAGCCAGTCAAATTGTTGTCGTTCAGACCAAGAAACCTCAATCTTTTCAAACTTGCTAAACCAGAAGGAATCTCACCTCTCAAACCCATCTTTGACAGATCTAAAATGACCAAATTGTCCAGATTCTCCCACTTTATTCCCATCATGTCATCATCATCACTGCCCATTGGGTTTCCTGATAAAACAAGATCCGTTAAAGATCGAATCTTTACGATGTTTTCGAACAACCCTCCAGAGATTATATTGTTCCTCAGATCCAAAAGCGTCAGATTCTTCAAAACCCCGAGTTCTTGAGGCAACTCTCCTTCTATTTGGTTGTTGCTTAGGTCAAGCTTAAGCAATGAAACCATCTCTCCAATAGACAAAGGCAAAGTCCCTGAGAATAAGTTTCGACTCAAATCCAAGATCAGTAGATCTTTAAACCCATTGAAACAATCCGGTATCGTTCCAGTGAACAAGTTCCCCGCAAGAACCAACCGTTGCAACCTCGTTAGATTGCAGAGACTCGCCGGCACTTTCCCGTTAAACCCGTTTTCAAGAACCACCAAAGACTTCAGCTTCGTGAGACTACCAATTGTTTCAGGAAGCCCACCAATCAAGCCAGGATTGGATCTGAACTCGAGAGACTCCAAGTTACTTCCCAAGTTTATCCAATCCTCTTTAGCTAATGTTATCGGCGAGACGAAGCAGTTGAAGAACGTGAGAGATTTCAAGTGTTTGAGTTTGAATAACTCTGGCTTTATCACCAAACTTGTGCCGCAAGGAAGCGAGTTTTCGTGAACAAGACCTAGTGTTAGATCCGTGACATACCACAAGTCACCATAGAGATCACAAGAAACACCCTGAAAATACCACCAAAAAAAAAAAAATCACATTATTGGAAGAATAAAAATAAAGGAATTTTGTTAGTTGTGGGCCAATTATTGTATATAAAAATAATTGAAACTAAAAATACATTTACAGAAACAAAAATTAGATCTTATATGTAAATAGCTATACACTTTGATGCGTTGAAGCTTAAAATTTTCACTTACTGGTTATGGAAAATTCAAAGGGAGAACATTACATTTTGAAAGAAGAAAGAATTATTCAGACAGCTACAGAACAAGAAGCTCTTTCCAAAAACCTTTAAAGAAAGTTCAAGAACTCTCAAGAAACTAGAGAAGAGCTAAGTTGTATAATGAATTTTAAACAAGAACCTGAATAGGAGTCCAACCACAAGGGTCAGGATAAAGATCAGAGCCATTCCAAGAATCACCAACAAACCCTTGAATAGCTGAGTAAAGAGCTTCTTGTTCTGTTTTATCCATGGGAGCTCCTCCATCATCAGTATCTCCGGTGACGACGACGCACCACGATAAAGTTAGACAAAGGAACAAAACAGAGTGGATCCAAGACATTGTGGTGGTGGGGAGAAATGATGAGACAAAACAAGAGTTTGTGGATTGTTTGGTTTTTGAGGTTATCTCTGGGTTTCTTTATCTATTGGTGTTAATATTATTTATTGAAGAGAGAGCGAGAGGTCGTTGGGAGTCAATGGGGTGTTACATTATTATTATTATTATAGCTTAAAGAAACGTTACATTAAAAATAAAAATAAAAAATGAAATCGAGGGACTGTAACGAGAAAGACATTTGGTTATATGTTGTTGTCTCTGTCATATAAAAAAAGTAAATGTGAGCATTTGTTCCCATATCTCATACACGTATTTACTTCTTCGACTTTTATTTTGTGTCTTTTGAAGTTAGTGTATGTGGGAAAAAGAAGAGAGCTAATGTGAAAAATAGGATTGAGGAAAGCACAAGGATCAATGAAGCTATTGAATTTAATGTTTTTGCTTCTTCTGAGATGTGCCTTTGACATTTATTTTGTAGTTAATTATTGGGATAGCTTTATTGTAAAAATAGAAGTGGTTTATTCTTTATTATTCTTTGTAGGAATCTATCTTCTACTACTACTACTACTAATAGACATATTAAAACGAATTTACCTTGTTACGAGAGCTATGAACATTCGCTTTCTTTTTCATTACCTCCCGACCAAACGAGAATGGGAAAGAACGAGTAGAGAGAAGTGTTATGTGAACTTAGCGTTGCTTAGTATGGTTTAGGGTTCAGCATGCTGGCTTATTATATACGTAGGTTCGTATTATCGTGTGTGTCTGTGTGATTTGATATATAAATGTTGATTTTGTGTGTGTTAAGAGATGGTTAATTTCACTATCTTCCTTTTGCCAATGAAAACTATTTTGTTTTCCTGCAAGTATTTAACATTTTTTTTTACTTTAAACTATATATTTGACTGTATTTATGTAAGGTTGGCTTTGCAACACATATTGAAACATAAACAGTTTGTGGCATTTGGTGGTGAATTTGATTCTACAAAACGAAATTGGCTTTGATATGGTATAATAGGAAATATTTATATATATATATAGCTTGGGTTTTATTGTTAAGTATAGCTGCATAGATGAGAAAACATAATCTATAGACTAAATAAAAAAAAAGTTATAGTTTGTAAATATAAATTACAATGAAAAATAGAGATAGATAAAACTACACAATTATATGGTGCGATATAGTATTGTTTAAAATGCCAAATCAGAATATATATAACGTAGCCCAATTTATCCCATGATACTGTATGTAAAAGAAAAACAAGCCACATTAATAAAAAGAAAAAAAAAAAAAGCAAAGTCAGATCAATTATCAAATGGTCGTCACTAAGATTAGAGTATCAATGATGGTTGGAGAATTAAAATGAGTATCTGTACCAAAATATAATTAGATTACGTATTTAAATTTTAATGTTAAATTAAAATATAAAATAAACCTACAGTAGAGAGAAAATGGTTAAGAGTTTAGAAGTGATTTGAAGTAGAGAGAAAATGGTTAAGAGTTTAGAAGTGATTTGAAGATGATTTATTTAATATTAAAGATGATTTATTTTCTAAAAGGACATAAAATAAAAGATGAGAGGAAATGATTAAGAGTTTAGAAGTGATTTGAAGATGATTTATTTAATGTTAAAGATGATTTATTTTCTAAAAGGACATAAAATAAAAGATGACAGGAAATGATTAAGAGTTTAGAAGTCATAAAACATAACGTCTTCGTTAAGTTCATACCTTGTGCAAATGATAACTTTTTAATCGTATCCAATCTTTTGTGTAATGTTTGTGTTTATAGTTCGATAGCAATGCTAACTAACATAAATACGATACTGTTTTTTAGCAATTTAGATGATCTCAGAAATCATATCAAAATATAATAATTGGTATCATCCAGTGTTGTACTTGTCATGGGACATGTCAATTTTCTTTATGTCTTAATTAGTTTCTACTAGCTATTCGGCTATGCTGAATTTGAAAAAATGAGAGTAAGATGACCAGACTAATTCTAAAGCAAGTTCTTTGGGTTCTTTCGGTGTTTTAGCAACTCCACTTACAAACGAGTTAGATTTTGATTCTCCATTTAATAATGATTATGATTTCGATAATGTAATTACTTTTTAACAATATTAGAGTTTATATCATATTTTGTTATTTGACTACAGATAATGATGTCAATTTTTCTACATGATATTTTTGAGATTGAAAAAAAAACATTGGAATTGGAGTGGACTCAAATATCCAAAATATTTTTAGCAATAAATATTATCATTTAGTTAAAAAAAACATTATTACATAAAATATATTTTTATATTAATTAACTTTAACCCTATTAGTTTTACAAAATATGGAGTAATTAAACTTAATTAACAAATTAACGGCACAAATATTAATGCACATAAAAAACCTTTGTGAATTTTGTATGTTTTAATTTTATTGTTGATTTTTATGCAAACTCTTCTTCTTTTCAACAAGTTTGTTTAACTAGTGTGGTTACACATATATCTAGTTGATATTATTTCATGAAAGAAAATAAAAATACGAGTTTATAAGTGTTGAGTTTGAGGAAATTAATTAATGTGGGGAAGATGCTAGTATTTCTCCATAATTGATAGTGTTAGCTTTTAGATCATTTTAAGGAGACTAAACCGGAGAATAAGCACAAACCAGAACCCTGGGAATCTTTGGGATGATATGATTTAACCGAAACTAAACCGGAGAATAGAATTATAACAAACCAAAACCCTCGGAATCGTTTAGAAGGATAGTTCTGCTGTATCACACAGCATCTCTTCTTCCCCATCTTCTCACTCGCTGCTTCTCTTCTCACTCGCTGCTTCTCTTCTTCGATCATTGAAGCATCCACCCAGAAAAACCCTAATTTTGTAGTCAAGAAATGAGCTCTTTCTCCGCCAAAAAGTCACCAACTTCATCCTTCCTCTTCCCAAAAACCTCACCTTTACTTATACGACATCGTCTCACTCTCCCATTACTCGTTCCTCCTCACAAACCGTCACGATTTCGCATCGTCGCTTCTCTCTCCGGTACTTCATGGGTCTCTCAAGCTTCTAAAGACAAATATGGTGGGTGGGCTCTAATTGAAGATGAAGCTTCTTCTCCTCATTCGAAAACCAAAAAAAGTTAGTACCTTTCGTCTCTTTTAGTGGGGAATTGAAGAAATTTCTTAACTTTGTGTTTGTAATTTGATTTGGATCTTTCATTTTGTTTTAGAGTGGAGGAATGTTGTAATCACTGGTGTTGGATCGTCACTTGCTGTTGTATTAGCTACTATTGCTTACTTTTCAATCTCCCGAAAAGGTTCAAATACATATTCTCTACTCTTTTGTTTTTTTCATCCTTGATAATGACTTGGATTTTGTAGAATTTTTTAATTTGAGGTTTTGTGTTTCTTTGACAGGTTTTAGGTTTTGCATTAGTAATCCATTGCATTATCAAACTGTGGATTTGGATCAGAGTGAAAATGAAGAGAGTGAAACTCTGTTCGATGATGAGACTTCTGAGGCTAACTCTGAAAGCGTTGACTATGTTTCAGATACTGTTGACACAAGTAAGTTCTTATTTTGGTCAACTTTGAGGAAAATACGAAAGATTTATAACTTGTTGCTACAATTTGCTATAACAAGTCTTAATTCGAGTTTTCTGGTGTCTACTTTAGCATCAAGCAAAAAAACTTACCATGTCACCACTCGGGTTGTTGTGGATGCCGCTCAACAAGAAGCAATAGCAGTTTTAAAGAAACTAAAGGTTTATTTCTAGAAACTTGCCCTCAGATTACAATTTGACTTTAAGCATGAGCCTTATTGTCCAGCTCTGATCATGAACATGTCAATTGTAATTAAGTTGTTCAGATAATTGAAGATGATGTAGTGGCAGATGAGTTGTGTACTAGGCGAGAGTATGCTAGATGGCTAGTTCGTTCAAATTTGTTATTAGAGAGGTAATGAGACTTGGAGTACATTTTATCAGAATATGATAAGTCTCTCAGCGTTTGCGGTGGACTGAGACAATGTGTTTCTCTTGCCTTTAGAAATCCAATGCACAGGATTGTGCCAGCAGTAGCTTTAGCTGGCTCTTCAATTCCTGCATTTGACGATATAAACACCGCAGACCCTGACTTCGAGTACATTCAAGGTAAAATCTATAAGAGACATATCTACTTTGGTTTTGTAGTTTATTAGAACTTCTGTAATTTGATTTTTATTTTCAATTTTTCATTCAGCTTTGGCAGAGGCAGGCATTACTTCCAGCAAGCTCAGCGGAGAAGATTCGCGAAATGACTTGGGAAATATTAATTTTAATCCTGAAAGGTATAAAGGGGATTAGTTTTCTTCATCTGCTATATGTTTGTCTTGTTGTTCACTGATTTCTAATTGTTTTAACATATATGGTGGCTGCAGTTTTGTTTCTCGACTCGATTTGGTAAACTGGAAAGCTCAATTGGAGTGTGGTTTCCATCCAGAAATTATGGAAGAGGTGTGATTAAATTTTAACATTTGTGCATAACAGTGATGCTTATCAAATGCTTTTTATCTTTTAAAAAGCCTGACTTATTTACAGTCCAGATATCAAGGACAAAGGTAGATTATATAGACACGAAGAATATCAATCCCGATATGGCCCTCGGATTTTTCTTAGACTTCTTGATGGGTGACAAGAGTACGATCAGAAACGTTTTTGGTATACTTCTACCTCTCTCTAATTCTGACCTTCTCTTTCTTTGTTTGATTGTTGATGTGGGTATGTGTTACAACGAAAAGAAGACAGATTTATTTTGAGTTTTATAGTACTGAGTTGATGATAACATATAAACTGTAAATTTCTAGAAAAGAATGAAGATTTCAAATTTTACAGGTAGGATCAAGCGGTTTCAGCCAAATAGACCTGTTACAAAAGCACAAGCGGCTGTAGCATTAACAAGCGGTAAGATGGTGAAAGCTATCTCAGCAGAGATATTAAGGTTAGAAGCAGAGTCCCTCTCGCAGAAAGCTGAGATGAAAAGAATCAAATCCGAGTTGCTAGAAAAAGGCGAAATAAGTCAATTTTGGGATGAGAAGCTTAAGGTAGAGAGATCCCTAAGAGATGAGATGGAAGAGTTCCATCTCTCCAGAGTTAGTGAATTAGAAGATGAAAAAATCGTTCAGCAGAAGTGGTTTGCCGAGCGTTTGAAAGAGAAATCAGCCATAGAATGTCAGAAACAGTTGCTTCAAGGCTTGACTGAAGATATTGATGAAATGTCTCAGAGGCTAATATCCGATAGATCTGTTTATCTGTCTGAGCACAGCAAGTTACAAGAGATGCTAAGTGACTTACAATCCAAACTTGAATCGCTAGTCGATAAAAGATCTATTCTCGAAGCTGAAATCGAAGCTCTTCGGATTCTAAGGTAATGGTTATTATCATTGTAGCAAAGTTTTGATCTTTAGTAAAGTTTAACCATTTATGAGTGAATGAAATGCAGATCTTGGGTAGAGGATGAAGCCAAGGCAAGCCAAGCGAGAGCTAAGGTTCTCGAGGATGCGGGAAGGAGATGGAAATGGAATGACCATGCTTGATTCTTCTTCAGATTGTACAAAACTTTGTTGGGTGATTGTTTGTTATATATCATGAGTGCTTGGGATCTGAAATTAATCAAGTCCAAAAACTTGGTTTGTTGGTTTATATTATATGTAATTCAATCTTGGTTTAAACCAAATTGGAAATAATACAATTGGGGAAACTTTCAAATTCATAATTTTCAAAATGCCAAAAAGTAGTGTGAGAATAGTTAGTTACCAAGAATCTAATCATTCGCTTCGAACTTATTCTCACACTTTAGCAATGAAATTTCAAATTTTGAAGAGCGATTCACGAAAACCGTTAAATAAAACCAAATCTACGCGACATTGTCAAAGTCCGGAGCTCTTACTACTCTCATGAATCGATTGAATCCACAAGACCGATCTAATCTTGGCTAATTTGAAGTCTGGTAAGCTTCTTTAGACATAGAGTCCGGAGCTCTGGGTTTGTTTAAAAATCGAAACTTTTTTATTTATTTCATATGACGAATTCGCTTCTTCTCCTTCCTTTAGACATAGAGCTCTTTTAGGGTTTAACAGTTACAGTGTAACAGTCAAACCGAAGCTGGGTCATAGTTAGAGTTACGTCTTCTGCTTTAGAAAAGAAAGTTTCTTTTAACTCTTTTATTTACGCAACTCAAAGTTTTATCTTTGATGAGTTCCAAAATTTTCTAAGACAAGAAACAATTAGAGCTGTTCTTGTCTTTTTGCTTTGCAACTGTGTCGTTCTGACTTCTGAGAGATATATCCTCTGTGAGTTGTTCCCACCACAAAATTCCTCTTCCATACAATAAAACAGTGAATTTTGATAAAATTCGTTTCTCAACTTGTCCTGATCCTTACCTGGCATTGTCTGAATCAAACCCATTTTATTTTTGTGCAGATTGGTAAAAGAAAGAATCAGAATCTAGTGAAGGGTTTAATATGAGTTTTCACACCATATCATGTAAGATTCTTACTTCTTTTTTACAAGAACTAGTTCTCTTTTGTTATCTCTTCTTATTCACACACTTGTTTTCTTAGATAAGGCTAAAAAGGCATCAAACATGTGAATGAAATCTATGGTTGAGCAAAAGGGTTTTCTGATAAGATAATGAAAAGGCCAGTCTTGGTTTTCTTGTTTAGCTGATTTGATTTCTGAAAATATTGTAATTGGTTATTGCTACGTAGCGTGGCAGAACACATTTACTTGGTCTTGGTCCCCAAACAACACAACATAATCTAAACCCCACATTTTTCTTACGAATCAATCACCTATACCAATTTGAGATCACTAATCTTTATATTGAATAGGTTGGTCTTGATGATTGATAAATCAATTAATTTCTGATCTTAACTGTGATATGTGCCTTAGTTCACCGTCTAGTTTGGTAAAAAGCTTTGACACAAAGACAAAGAGACAGATTACTCAATCTTTTGGTTTCACCGGTATGGACAAAAAAGGATAATTTCAGAAATTGTTGTTTTATTTATGGTTGCTTCTTTGGTCATGGCTTAAGACCCCATCTATTACCATACATGTCTATTTCCTCATCTGTCTTGAGCTAAAAACAGCCACTATTATTGTGCTTGTTTTCAATATATTTAATGCTGAAATTTTTGGCCTTTGATGCATGAGACTTGAGAGGTCCATAAAGCTGATAAGATCGAATTTGTGATGATAAGTGTCTTTTATTTCCTTCTTTCTGTGGGTGGACGTAGTTCCTTAAAGTTTTGTCAGTACATGGGAGCTTCTCTTACAGGAACAAGTGTGTTTATCCATTTGTCATAAGGTTCATGAACAGGATTTGGACTAGAGGTTTTTCTTGGAGGAACGATGGGTTGAGTTATTATTATCGGTAGCGAAAATTTAAAGGAGGTTTTCGGGTTCTGTAGATGAAACGGGGAAGGGAATTTATTCCCATTTCAAGATTTTAATATATGTTTGTCCGGATAGGGTTTGTTGTTGCTGCTTCCGTTGCAGCAGTTGTTGTTAAGCGGCACAACGTTAAACCCTCCAAACCGAGCAAACAACCAGGTAGTGTTTTTTTTTTATACAAGCACACTAAATTCTCCATTTTATTGCATTTCACTCATGTATATATAGAATCTGACTTTCATGTTATCTGCATCTTGCTCTAAGAAAATGGCGAAGGTGGCGATAAAGAAGAGGCTGTGTCTCCTGACAACAATCTCAATGATAGGAATGTAAGTGTAGTTTGGAAAAGTTTTGTTTCATTCATGTGCTTGATTGAAATGTTGTGACAAAACTGATAATATATTCAGCTGGAGGAAGAGGAGGAGGAAGAAGAAGAGGTGAAACTGATCAACAGCGTAATCAATCAGAGTCGTGGAAGTTTCTCGGACTATTTAGATGATGATATTTTACCCGAGTTTGAAGATCTTTTATCTGGTGAAATTGAGTATCCATTGCCTGATGATGATAATAGCTTGGAGAAAGCAGAGAAAGAGAGGAAATATGAAGTCGAGATGGCTTATAATGATGGTGAGCTTGAAAGGTTAAAACAGTTAGTTAAGGAGCTAGAAGAAAGAGAAGTGAAACTAGAAGGAGAATTGCTCGAATATTATGGACTCAAAGAGCAAGAATCGGATATAGTTGAGTTACAAAGACAGCTCAAGATCAAGACTGTGGAGATTGATATGTTGAACATCACTATTAATTCTCTGCAAGCTGAGAGGAAAAAGCTTCAAGAAGAGATCTCCCAAAACGTTATTGTAAGGAAGGAGCTTGAGGTGGCAAGAAACAAGATCAAGGAGTTGCAGAGGCAAATCCAGCTCGATGCTAACCAGACAAAAGGACAGTTACTATTGCTTAAGCAGCATGTGTCGAGTCTCCAAATGAAAGAAGAAGAAGCAATGAATAAAGATACCGAAGTGGAGAGGAAGCTAAAAGCTGTACAGGATTTGGAAGTGGAAGTCATGGAACTCAAGAGAAAAAACAGAGAACTTCAACACGAGAAGAGAGAGTTATCCATTAAACTCGATTCAGCAGAAGCAAGAATTGCAACTCTTTCAAACATGACTGAGGTAAGTGTAATGATTCCTCCATATCAGTTTTTGCATCAATGTTTTTTTTATTTCCTAAAGTAAAATTTTCTCTCTTTGTTCGTAGAGCGATAAAGTGGCGAAAGTTAGAGAAGAGGTTAATAATTTGAAGCATAACAATGAGGATTTGTTAAAGCAAGTGGAAGGTCTTCAGATGAATAGGTTTAGTGAAGTTGAGGAATTGGTTTATCTCCGCTGGGTCAATGCATGTTTACGGTATGAGTTAAGAAATTACCAGACACCAGCTGGTAAAATCTCAGCTCGTGACTTAAGCAAGAACCTAAGTCCCAAGTCCCAAGCAAAAGCAAAACGGTTAATGCTAGAGTATGCTGGTTCAGAGCGTGGCCAAGGAGATACTGATTTAGAGAGCAACTATTCTCAACCTTCATCTCCGGGAAGCGATGATTTCGATAATGCTTCGATGGATAGTTCCACAAGTAGGTTTAGTAGTTTTAGCAAAAAACCAGGATTGATTCAGAAACTCAAGAGATGGGGCAAAAGCAAGGATGATTCAAGTGTTCAGTCATCACCTTCAAGATCATTCTATGGAGGATCACCGGGAAGACTTAGCTCGAGCATGAATAAACAGAGAGGTCCTTTAGAATCTTTGATGATTAGAAACGCAGGTGAATCAGTAGCCATAACAACATTTGGTCAAGTGGATCAAGAAACCGCGCCTGGTACCCCTGAAACCCCGAATCTTCCAAGAATCAGAACACAGCAAGCTTCTTCTCCGGGTGAGGCTTTGAATTCCGTTGCATCATCATTCCAAGTGATGTCTAAATCGGTTGACAATGTTTTGGATGAGAAGTATCCCGCGTACAAAGACAGGCATAAGTTGGCGGTTGAAAGGGAGAAGCACATTAAGCATAAAGCAGATCAAGCAAGAGCAGAGAGATTTGGTGGTAATGTGGCTTTGCCTCCTAAACTTGCTCAACTAAAGGAGAAAAAGGTTGTGGTTCCCTCGGTGATCACAGGCGATCCGTCTAGTCAGTCTAATGATCAGTCTACCGAAGGTAAAACCAGCGAAAACGCTCAAGCTGTGACCAAAATGAAGCTTGTAGACATTGAGAAACGACCTCCTAGAGTACCTCGCCCGCCTCCAAGATCATCTGGAGGTGGTAAAAGTAGCAATTTACCTTCTCCAAGACCTCCTTTACCCGGTGGTGGACCACCGCCACCTCCTCCTCCACCTGGTGGTGGGCCTCCTCCCCCACCTGGTGGTGGACCGCCGCCACCACCACCGCCTCCTGGAGCACTTGGAAGAGGAGCAGGAGGCGGGAACAAAGTTCACCGAGCTCCTGAGCTTGTTGAGTTTTATCAATCATTGATGAAACGTGAATCGAAAAAAGAAGGTGCACCTTCTTTGATATCTCCAGGAAGTGGTAACTCATCAGCAGCTAGGAACAATATGATTGGGGAAATCGAGAATCGATCAACATTCCTCTTAGCAGTAAGTTTGCACTTTCAATATAATGTTTAATGCAATTGCCAATTCAAACAAAGAAACAATTGTCTAAACTTCAAACTTGATTACAGGTAAAAGCGGATGTGGAAACACAAGGGGACTTTGTTCAGTCGTTAGCAACTGAAGTCCGAGCTTCTTCTTTCACAAACATAGAAGATCTCTTGGCGTTCGTTAGCTGGCTTGATGAAGAGCTCTCCTTCTTGGTCAATAACTAACTCCTCTATTCAATACTACTCTCTAACAGCTACTTTGGTTCTCATTACTCATAGATCATTCTCTGTCTTTTTTATTAGGTTGATGAAAGGGCAGTTCTTAAGCATTTTGACTGGCCAGAAGGTAAAGCTGATGCTCTACGAGAAGCAGCTTTTGAATATCAAGATCTCATGAAATTGGAGAAGCAAGTTACTTCCTTTGTCGATGATCCTAATCTACCTTGTGAACCTGCTTTGAAGAAGATGTACAAGTTGCTAGAAAAGTAAGTTAACTGTCAAGACAAAAAAAAAAGAGTATCACAACTAAATCTTTCTTAACTAATGTCTCTGTTTTCACAGGGTTGAACAAAGTGTATACGCGCTTTTACGTACACGAGACATGGCGGTTTCACGATATAAAGAATTCGGGATTCCAGTTGATTGGTTATCTGATACTGGCGTCGTAGGGAAGGTAAAAACATTTGTTCTTTCGATTGCAAAAATTAATCATCTTGTCCTTGTAAAACAATTCTGAAAATGCTCTGTTTTGTTATTTGTCTATGTTTTCATCACAACACAGATCAAGCTTTCGTCAGTCCAGCTTGCGAAGAAGTACATGAAACGAGTAGCTTATGAGCTTGATTCAGTAAGTGGGTCTGATAAAGATCCAAACAGAGAGTTTTTGCTTCTCCAAGGTGTTCGTTTCGCTTTTAGAGTCCATCAGGTAAAAAAGAACAAAACTCAATTCACATTAGAACACAAAGTTACCTAAATGACTAGTTTTGCTCATAGTGTAATAATATAACTGAAAATGTATATATTTGCAGTTTGCTGGAGGGTTTGATGCAGAGAGCATGAAAGCATTTGAAGAGCTTAGAAGCAGAGCCAAAACTGAGAGTGGAGGAGACAACAATAATAATGAAGAAGAATCTGTAAACTGAGGTTTATTTTTATTTTTTTTTGGTGGGATGTAAACTGAGGTTTATTACTTTATGTTTCTTCTATGTCTCTCTCTCTTTGTATCATTGTATCTCTCTTTGTATCATTGTATCACATACACTTGATTTATAGTACAGTGAAAATTTATAGAAATACAATTTTTTTTTTTAGGTATTGCGAAATGATTTTTTTTTTTAAATTTAGATAATAAATTCGCAATAAATCTGTAATCTCCCAAACTACTGAAAAAGAGATAAAATAATTGTGGTTTGTCTTAAAAGTCACATGTTTCATATCATGTGCAGCCATGCAAAGTATCGCCCGAATCTTCTTCACTCTTTAATGTCTTTATAAATTTTGGCTAAAGTTTTGTTTATTTTTTTCCTTGCATGAATAATAAAGTACAAAATAAAAACCAATAATGGTATATTAGATTTAGATGACAAAAAAAAAAAAAAATAATGGTATATTAGATTTTACAGCAAATAAAAACAAGGACAAGTTCCATTTTTTCTTTTGTAATTTTATGCAATCGTATAAATAAAGAAATACTAATAATAATCATGTTTTAATTTTTTGGAAAAAATTAAGTATTTTCTGCCACCACCTAACAAACAGGGTCCATTTCTTGGGTATAGTACTTTTCACGTCCAAACAAGATCTACATTTATTATTATTATTGTGTTCGTATAATTACAACTTATTATCATAATAGTATTACCATCATACGACCCTCTTTATAATAAATGAAATATATAATCCACGGATCTAACACTAAGATTTACAATCACAACACTACAATACAACCATTGTTGCCATTGAATCACACTCTTCAAAACACAAAACTATACAAATATTTGGTGTTTTGAAATTATCAAAAGAATCAATGATTATATAAAAAAAAATATCTAAAGATTAAAGTGAAAGAAGTAAGGAACAAAGAAACAAAACAAAAACACATTTAGACAGCTAAGAGTTTTTATTGCAAAAGCCAAAGCTTGAAACAGATATCTTTCAGTCTTCACGTTACAATGTACTTGTATTTAAAAAACCATCTCGACCACAAACTGACAAAATACGTACATATTACCGTATTTTTATACCTTCTTCTTCGTCTTCTTCAATCTCTTAATAGACACAAAGATAACAACACCAAAACCCTTCTCATTCTTTCTCAATGTTTCCTCTTATCTTTCTCTCTCTCTTCCTCCTCCCGCCGGCGAATCTTGCCGCCGTGAGTAATGACCACAAGTACTTAAAGCTTCCATTGTTACGCAAATCTCCGTTTCCTTCTCCGACGCAAGCTTTGGCTCTAGACACTCGCCGTCTCCATTTCCTCGCTCTTCGCCGTAAACCTATCCCGTTCGTCAAATCTCCGGTCGTCTCCGGCGCAGCTTCCGGGTCGGGTCAATATTTCGTGGATCTTCGAATCGGACAACCGCCTCAGTCGTTACTTCTGATCGCTGATACAGGAAGTGATCTAGTTTGGGTGAAATGTTCAGCTTGTCGGAACTGTTCACATCATTCTCCGGCCACCGTCTTCTTCCCTCGCCACTCGTCGACATTTTCTCCCGCTCATTGCTACGACCCGGTTTGCCGTTTAGTACCTCAACCGAGTCGGGCTCCGAAATGTAACCATACCCGGATCCATTCCACGTGTCATTACGAGTATGGTTATGCAGACGGTTCATTAACTTCCGGTTTATTCGGTAGAGAAACGACGTCGTTGAAAACTAGCTCTGGGAAAGAAGCGAAGTTAAAAAACGTGGCTTTCGGATGCGGGTTTCGGATCTCGGGTCAATCCGTATCGGGTGCGAGTTTTAACGGAGCTCATGGAGTAATGGGCTTGGGCCGTGGGCCTATTTCTTTTGCTTCTCAGTTGGGTCGTCGTTTCGGTAACAAGTTTTCGTATTGCTTAATGGATTACACTCTCTCTCCGCCTCCGACGAGTTACCTCATCATCGGAGACGGCGGCGGAGGAGAACGAATCAACGCCGTTTCGAAGCTTCTCTTCACTCCGTTGCTAACGAATCCGTTCTCTCCGACGTTTTACTACGCTAAATTGAAATCGATCTCCGTTAACGGTGCGAAACTACGAATCGATCCTTCGGTTTGGGAAATCGACGATTCAGGTAACGGCGGAACCGTCGTGGACTCCGGCACATCCTTATCGTTTTTAGCCGATCCGGCGTATCGATTGGTTTTAGCGGCGTTTCGAAGACGGATCAAGCTCCCGAACGCCGATGAACTGCCTCCGGGATTTGATCTGTGTTTTAACATCTCCGGCGTTTCAAAGCCGGAGAAGTTCTATCCGAGGTTGAAATTCGAATTCTCCGGTGGTGCTGTGTTCGTTCCGCCGCCGAGGAATTATTTCACTGATACGGAGGAGCAGATTCAGTGTCTGGCGATTCAATCGGTAAATCCAAAAGATGGATTCTCGGTGATCGGGAATTTGATGCAGCAAGGTTTCTTGTTTGAATTCGATAGAGATAGATCACGGTTAGGTTTTTCTCGCCGTGGTTGTGCTCTGCCGTGATCGAATTTTTTCCACCGGAATATTCTGTTTCGATTCGCTGAAAGATTCTTTTTTTTTTCTTCGTGTTTTGCGTTTTTTTTTTTGGTGCTCTGGGAAGTTCGAAAACTTGGGTGACGGTTCACTGTTACCGAAGATAGAAATAAAATAAAATAATATTTTTTGGAGTTTGTAATATTTCGATTTCAATATTTAAAGAGTAACACTGTAACCAAAAGCATGTGTAAAAAATAGAATAAACATGAAATGTTTTATTATACTATTTCATATATATGTTTGAAAGTATTACAAAAATAAAATTTGGAATATGGAGCATTATATAATCAATTGCGCATAAATATTAATATTCTTAAAGAAATTTTGAAGTACTTATAAAATTGTGGTTGGAAATAATTTGGAACATGAACTTAATTTGAGAATGGAAAATCAATGTATCTAATGACTAAAAAAATAATATTATATTTTAGAAAAGGTATAACGACATTTGTTTTGAATTACTTTTCCAACTAATGCTCAGTAATATTATATATCTATAATAATAAACTATGTATAGAATATATAATATATATAGTTTTAAATACACACTGTATAGAAAATCTAAAATGAACTTTTGTAACATAATCATAAAGTAGAGATCAGATATGATAATAACCCATTATTGTATATGTTACTTATTTGAAAAAGGGTCGACAGAAAAAATCAAAATTATTTGGAAAATACATTAATTTATATCTTATGTGTAAAAAGGTGATTATTACTGTATGTTTTCCGATTTCTTATAATTTCACCCCCAAAGTTTGTCTCTTTTTCTTCTTTGACGTACATATTATATATGGTGTTGGCCCTAGTTAACCAAATTAATTATTGTGAAATCAATTTACATTTTCTTAAAACCTTACATCTATAGTTCAGTTCTTCTCTCAATTTATGTTTCTAATCTCGAAATTGAGTCTCCATCTATAGTTTGTTGTGAGTTTGTGATGCATTATACAAAGATTAAGATACTGACGTGTTTCTAATTTAAAAACAACTAGATTCGGACCCGCGCTACAGCGCGGGGGAAAGTTACCGGGTTTTTAATCCTTTGTACGTTGCGGGATAATTTATTTGTGTTTGCTTTACTTTATTTTGATTATTAATTAAATTCTATCATTTTTAGATTGTATTTTTTGTGTTGGTTTCGAATATGTTCAAAATTATTTAAATTGTATGATTTTAGTTGGATTGTTAATTTTAGAACAATATGTGACATATATACATGTATAAATATTATACTATGAATCATTTTTAAAGTTTAGGGATTGACCCGCGGTACACCGCATAATCATAAATACATGATTTTAACTTGGACCTTTCATGCAGTTTTGTAAAATTGCAAATCTCTAGAATAAACAAATAAAGAGCCAATGATTTCTTATTTCTTATCGTGTTAAAATGTAAAATCTGTGTTTATGTTACAATTTTCTGGTAGTAGAAACTTATTTATATAGATAATATTTTCTTAGAGTTAGGTTAGCGTTGAAAAAAAAGATTAGCTTTATAATCAAGTCAGAAATTCGAAACTATTGCCAAATAAATATATTAAAGATGGTTGAAAATGAATTATCCCGTAATTGGTGTGAAGATCATAGTTAATATAGGAGAAAACTATACATCTAAATATTAATATAAGATATTTAAGGAACATTTTGTTTTGAAATATTATGGATAATTTGATAAATATTTTATATTTAATTTATATTTCTGATTTTTAGGTTAATTTGTTAAACCAATATACAAAATCATACATTAATGTATTTTTCCTTAAACAAATTAAGATTAATGTACTTTCCAAAACCGATATTGATGGTTTAATTTGGTAGATTTCGAAATAATATATATGGAAACTGGTATTTAATATCTTTAAATTTTTAGTAAGATCCAATTGAAAAATTTCGGGTTAATTTTTTTAAAAAACCCGACCCAAAAAACTTTTGTACTTCTCTTTTACTATAGTAGGGATTATGAACCAATCCGAGTCCGCAGATACTAATTAGAGAATAAAGAAGACTACAACAACAGACAATATAGTACAACTATATTAGTTTTGTGTTTTCTACAGCCACCGACAGTTAATTCTTGAAAATGTACTAGAATCTAAGTTTAACTATCTTGTTCAAGTAAGTGTCGTAAACAGAAAACACATGCAATTAATTAAAGAAAGAAAAAGGAAAAAAAAAAGAAACTTATACCTTAGTTAACAACACATGTATGTATCTAGGCATGACCAAAAGCTAACCTTAACCGTATTTTTAACCGTAACCGGACCGTTTATCAACCGTAACCGGACCGTAACCGTATAAAACGGTTAAAAATTGTAACCGTTAACCGTAAAAGTAAATTAGTTACGGTTAAAAAATAATAATAACCGTAACCGTTAATTAACCGTAACCATAATTAACCGTAATTAATCGTCGGTTAACCGTACGGTTAAACGCTCGGTTAACCGCATATTTAAAATTTTAAAATAAATTATATTATAACTGTATACAATACCCAGATTTAACTAATTCACTATAAATAATTGAAATCACATATATTTTTTACTTGTAAAATAAATAATATTTCATAAAATTTTATCTCCAATATTAATATTATAATAATCATCAAATAACCGTAACCGTATTTAACCGTAACCGTAATTAACCGTAACCGTATATAACCGTAACCGTCTTAACCGTATATATAATGATTAAGGTTATGGTTAAAAAATTATAACCGTTAACCGGTGGTTAATTAACCATAACCGCATTAACCGTAACCGTGGTCTATATGTATCGATCGATCTATGCGACTAACCCAAAATGACTGATTGGCCGAACAGGCCCATAAGCCCAAGAAACTGCGTAGCTTAATATTACTTAGTGGCCCAAAATGCCTATAATCAAGTTTTCTCTATTGCACACAATCCACAAGTGACGACAGAAAGTTAAGACCAACTAAAGCCTTTTTAGAAACATGTGAATTGTGAGAGTCTCAAAATTTTAAAATAATATATGAATCACTTGGAATCTCATAATCCATTTTTACAATATTTTAGAGTCTAGTAACCCGAACCTATATAACATCATCCAAAAAAAGTGATATTTGATCTGAGATGAATGAATCAATATATATATATATATATATATATATATATATATATATATATATATATATATATACTTCACTATGTTAGGATCTCACATATGTTAAACTGTGATTTCGATAGTTGATCATCTGTTAACGTATTAGATGATAAACGGAAACGAAAACTAATTATAATATAAAAATAGTTACTTATCACTTTATTTCGTTACTATACGTTCGATGGTTTTGAATAATATAGTTTTAGAACGTCACTACAAAATAATACTAGCGACAAGAAACAATTTCGTATTAAGAAATTTGGTGTAATGGTATAGATTGGTCAAGAATCAAGTATGTCACAGATTACTTATACTATGTTGTAATCTATACCGTTCGATGTTTATATAACATTATCTTTGTTTGTTTGTTAACAAGACTATATATATATATATATATGTGTTAATTGTAACATGATAAGTTTTATAACGAATAGAATATGTAATTCTTATAAGACGCAAAATGAGTGGAGTAAGCATGGCGTCATGATGATCAAAGCCCTAAAAGAGCAACCCACCGCCCGGGATAATGTTCACAAATCGTAACCATACTTTATTTTTCTTCTATTAAAGAATTTTTATTTCACTTTAGAAAGAAAGAAAAAAAACCTTAAAATATTAAGAAAGTGCAAACACACTCATACATGTGTGTATATAATATATATATGTAAAGGGGTGACATAAGAAGGCTACAAATGGCCACAAATATGAAAAAAAAAAGAAACGCAAAGGGACCAGAGACAACCCATGCGTGTGACCACAAAGTGATGCTTACTTATTTCTTATATATGCTTACTCAATTTTTTTTATTTATAATCCAAAAAAATTACACACACACACACATGGCCAAGCACTTCCATATACAAGAAAACTAATTTCATATTTGCTTCCATAAGACCTACCTCATCACACGTCACCGTACCGTTTCGTTTTTTGCAATATTGCATAATGCATATATCTTCTTTATATTACGTTTTGGAAAACAACATTTCGTGCACTAATGTTCGAATTGTCCACATTTCTTTCGGATCATCTAGACCAAACACAATTACGTGCATGCTTTAGTACTATTATATATGGATGATGAGTGAAATATTCATATAGTGTTTGAATGACCGACTGGTACCCATCTAATGATAGTGTTTACTGGTCTAATTATTTGTCTAAATTTAGGTATACAGTACACATTTGTATTTTTGAGATTATTCGTTGATAAACTTGAATAGGTAGGTATAATATGTAAGGTTCCAAAAATCTTCAGTTATTTTACTTATTCTACGTAGGCTACGTAAGCTTCTTCTAACATAACAGTTAATTACTACTAAAGTTATTTCTAACCGTTTATAAACATGATGTGGTATTGGATGTCAGCTAGAGAATGTGTAATTAGTCATATATACTCTTATTAAATATTCATTAAATTATTTTTAAAACAGGCATAGTGGGGACAATGTTATACATTAATTCACAATTCATGATGCTGTATGCCACCACTTGAGTTTTCATACCCCAAAAATGATATGAAAGTTCAAGCCTACATTCGTAAAATTTGGTGAAAAATAAAATTTGATATATAGTTTAGGCAGAAATGAAAATTACATGTTTTTGCATTTCTTATGCGATTATACAGATTTTTTAATTGATGAATTTTTTACATAATCATATTAGAAACGTTATTATGATACATGCATTTTCATTCATTTTATAGTGAGTATTTAACCAAGTAATGATAATATATTAGTTACCTGATCGAAATAAGAGAACTTGATAATTCTTTTATTGCTATGATCACTACTATATATAGATGCATGTGGAATGTCCCAGACATCAGTTTGGACTCCAATTTTGTTTTTAAATTAAAAATTATAACAAAAGAACTAGTGGACACTTTGTTTTCTCTTATACCATTTGTGCTCTACTTAAATTACATAAATCTTGCCAAACTTAAAAAAACTTATTAGAGAGATTGTTAGGCTAATCTTATGGCTTCCACTGGTCCAAGAGTTCGACCTTACCTCCAATCATGGGATACAAATATTAGCCAGTGGACGACACACACACACACACACAATATTACATGAAACCTAAAAACGGAGGAACACTTTTGTAATGAATCATGCACACACGCTTAAAGACCCTTGAACATATGTATGCATATGTATGTATTTACACATACACATGTAATGATGTGGTCGTGAAGACCTTTGCACAAATCTGTTGTGTGTAGTCACATATTCACGTGTAAAAGGACAACTTCTGGTTATATACATATATATAATCGTCATACATAGTTGTAAGTATATGACCAATGATAGTAACTCAACTGGTTGTTGAAGGTATAAAGCGTCAGTAAATATTTAAATTCGAGTTCAATTGCCATGGTGCATGGTTGTCATATTATAGACAAATTAAGGTCTGGTGGTTACAAATTCCCAATTATATCAAAAAGTGTAATTATGTTTGCGCTTTCATTTCCATGCAAATAGGTCACTATATATAACTAACACATATGGATTGAAAATAGCAAACACAACCACCAAATTTAAAATTTCAGTGGTTATTGCAATTTGCAAGTAATATTAAGAATCATACAACTCAAAAGTTATATAATGCTTTATATTATTTCATGATTTGAAAAACAAACACATTTAAAATTATTAAAATATTTTTTAGGGGTACAAATTACAATATTTTCGATTTTTATAAGAGTTTATATCACTTATAATTGGTTTTCACCAATATTACTAGTATTATATAATTTCATTCAGTTTGCTAAATTTCTTTTGCTATACAATTTATTTTTTAATCACAGGACTAGTTAAAGCCAAAGAAACTAACTGATTTGGTTTAAAATGAGCTTGCCATGCTTGTCAAGATGAAAATGATTTTAGCTTTTTTCAAAGGCCTTTTGAACATGAAACACTGACTTTATTTTAAAGGTAATGATTATAGGTTTCTTCCAACAATGGTTTCCTCCTATCATATAATTCTTCACCATAAAATTATTACTACATACTTTTTTATGAACCAACAGTTTTACGCACATACTCGCTGAAGAGCATGGTCTCGTGACAATATTATATATTAGATACCAAAAAAATGTATTTTTGTTATATAGTATTGGGTACCGTGAAACATTATCAGGTTATGTCCATAGTCATTAGAAACTAGTATTATTATTATTGATGCTTTTGATATGATGTTTATCACTTTTTTCAGTGTATAAAATATGGCTTCATGATACTAATAGTTTACCTTTCGTATACTTGATTTTGATGCATTGTGTTCATTACTTCCTTCTTTTCGTAAATATTAATTTAGTTTAAGTCTTCTAGGTGAGTTAGTTAAATCTAGTACGCTGCATAAGTAAGTTCTATATTTTTGTACAACGTTTTCTTTTTATTGATGTATATAAACAGAGCAATCCAACTCTTGCGAAAAAAAAAAATAACCAAAGCATGAATAGTAATGAAAATAATCATGGATGATCAAAGTCTTAGTCTAGTTAATGTCCACTAATCTAGGGTTAATGTTTATAACACCCTTTTATTATATATATATTTATAACATCGTCTATTTCAATAAATTTTTCTACCTATGTAAACTGAATGAAATAATTGTACATTCAAGCAAAAAAACAGATAAATGAGATAGTAAAATCGATTGTTAAAATGTCTTTTCATGAGGACCTATGCAAAAAGAAAGTTATCGAGAGAAGAATATATAATAGCGAGGTTAGTTTCAAGTTTCAACAAGAAAAAACAGAAAAGAATCATGTATATAAATCAATCAAGTACTGATAAAATACAAGTATTATTGGAAACAAACAAGAAGAGAAGCAAATTCAAAGACAAAATGATTTACAATTCTTGGAGAAGGAAAAAGATGAAAGACAGCGTGGAGAAAGAGCCCAGAATGTTGAACGTCGTGTGGGCTTCACTCTGCACCACCACCACCCAAAACCCTAGTTCATACCCTATCCTATATATATTTTCTTAATTTATACCCCAAAAAATTCTCAATTTTTAAAATATGGTATAATCAAGAACTTTGTTCTTTAAAATGTAGAATCAAGAACTTTCGGATCGGAGATCTGTTTTTGTATAATGAACGTGTGACACCTAAGACTTGAACTAGATCGAATATATATATATGCCCTAGACAACCATCTATTTGATAAAATGACCACAAATGGTAAAACTTGAACTAGGTGGAACCATTTTTATCAAGATCAAATAATACAAGATACATTCAGATCATAATCAAAGATATTCTTCGTTGGATATGTATGATATAGACTTTTTAAAACAAAAGAAAAGAGAATCTCGTCAGTGCACTTGAGACAAATCTAAAAACATAGAAAATCTTTGATTAGATTAGAAAAAAAACTTATTAGATTAAAAAGAAGAGAGAAAAAAAAAACAAGAAAGTGGGTTTGGCTAAATAAGAAACGAGTGCGATTATTAATGATTAAAAGTAAAAGTCTTTTTGGTCTCTGGTCGGTAGACAATCCGTGTGTCCTGTGGTCAGTGTTTGTTTTTTTTTTTTTTTCTTTTCGTTTCATTTTTCGAGTTTTTGTAATTTGTATTATTATTATTATTATGCTTTCCACTGAAAAAAAAAAACATTAAGCAGCCAAATGAAATTCTTTTAACGCGTTGTTTCAGAACCTGATGAGAAAAAAACAATACTCATGACATCTTTCTTTCTTCTTGCCCCTTTAAATGCATGTCAAATTGTATTGATTTTGTAATATCTACTTTAATCTATATAGTCTTGAGTCTTGACATCTATGTTGTATTTTACTTGTAAATTTCTAGTTATAATTTTGTAAGAAATTAGGCAGGGGATATAGCTCTTGCTTACCATGTTAAATGAGGATTAACCCGAAAGAAAAATATAAATTAAATCCTTTTATTTTCAAGAATAAACACCTTTTAAATTGGTAAATGAGGTTTTTTTTTTTTGTCATCAATTGGTAAATGAGGTTATGTTCTTTTTTGTTTAAAATTTTTAACATCAACTTATAGTTTCACAAGTTGGCACTTGAGACAAAAATAAAATTGTTTTTGAATAGATTTCTTAGACATATGTTTTGGGTCATGATCATTGCTCAAAATGCCAAAAAATAATAAGTAAACATGAGTGTGTCTATTTGACCGTTCTAATTCTAGAAAAGTTTCAATGAAATAATTTTGTCAACTACTATATGTTTTGTCTATGAAGCTGACCAGAATCATCTTGCTAATAAAATCATGATATTCAACCAGTTTATAGTCAAAGTCAATGCCTCATGCCAAAAATGTCTACTATAGCATAATATTCTTGATAGCAAAACGTAGATTATACTAATTTATTTCGGAAAATAACTATATAATAGTCATAAGTTAAATATAAATATATAATTAGCACTAATCAGAAAGGTTGTGAGGACTAAATCGCAAAAACTTTTTTCCTAAACACGATAAAATTATGTGTGAAAAGGAACCAATTTTTCTAATAACAATAAGAAAAGTAGACATATTCTTTAACATTAAAATCAATATACCTAAGAACACAAATAAATAACAATTGTTCATAGTAAGAATAATAATTGTTCATAGTAAGCCAAATCCATCAGAAAAATCTACAAGATGATGACAGCTCCCCATTTAGAAGTCGTAAAAGAAAAGCAAAGAAGATGTGCAGCACTTACAGTTTCATTTGTTTTCTTATATATTCATATAAAATATATCCCCCAAAAAAAAAAACGTGGTCCCAAAACATATACATAATTGATAACATTTAAATAAAAGATATCTATGATTAATATAGAGAAAAACAATTTAATTACAAATTTTGAAATTGCAAAAAAAAAAAATATATATTCCAGTGACAGGTAACTGTAATTAAAAATAAATTGAGGTTACATAAAAACTATAAGGAATCACATTAATCTTAAAGTGAGAGACTATAAATCATAGTGTATGTATTTTTCCAACATGTATTTTTATCAAAGATAATGGCAGGTCTGATTGTACAAACCGGTGAAAAGATTTTTTTTAATTTCTTTATTAAACTGAATTATTTATTTAGAAAGAAATCTCTAGTATATTAAACAAGTAAAGCCATTTTTTTTGTTTAAAAATTAGGAAGACACACATTATATAGCACTATATATACATGTGTAAGCATTATCAAATGGGATGTTTGTGACCTTTTGTCTCTTCTTCTCTAATTCTCTTTTCTCCTTTCCAAAAAACATAAAACCCAAAAAAAAAAAAAAAATGTATGCAATGAAAGAAGAAGATTGTCTTCAAACATATCACAACTTACAAGACTACCAAGACCAGTTTCTTCTCCATCATCATCACCATCCTCAAATCCTTCCTTGGTCTTCTTCTTCATCTTTACCTTCTTTTGACCCGACCCATTTCCCATCTAACCCGACGACCCGTTATTCTGACCCGGGCCACTACTTTAACAGAAGAGCTTCTTCTTCCTCTTCTTCCTTTGACTATAACGATGGTTTTGTCTCTCCTCCTCCTTCCATGGATCATCATCAGAACCATCTGAGGATCCTATCCGAAGCTCTTGGACCCATCATGCGTCGGGGCTCGTCCTTTGGGTTCGATGGTGAGATCATGGGGAAATTGAGTGCACAAGAAGTCATGGATGCTAAGGCTTTAGCTGCTTCAAAGAGTCATAGTGAAGCTGAGAGAAGAAGACGAGAGCGAATCAACACTCATCTTGCTAAGTTGCGTAGTATTTTACCAAACACAACCAAAGTAAGTTGTCATAAATTTATTACGATATTTCCCTTATATTCATTATTCTTTGATGTTTTGAAATTTCATATATGTTTTTGAGAAGTACATGGAAAACAATAGAAATCATCTAAAAAAACTCAATATGTTTGGTATGTAGTTAATTATAGATAAATTTCTAGTAATTTTGTGATTTGTTTTTCATTAATCTCTGTGTTTAATTAAGAAATACATATAGACAGGACATAAGTTAAACTAATGATAATTTCCATATTAATCTTTATATAATTCTTATCAATAGTTGGAACTAATTTTCCATTTTTGGTATGTAATTATTATCATTATGAAGAAGTTGAAGACTAAACACTTTATTGGTTAAATAAGACAAAACACTTTGTACTTAATGATTCTATTCTGTTTGATACATAGACGGACAAAGCTTCGTTGCTAGCGGAAGTGATCCAACACATGAAGGAGCTAAAACGACAGACATCACTAATCACCGACTCGTGTCAGGTCCCAACAGAGTCCGATGATCTGACCGTGGATTCATCTTACAACGACGAGGAAGGGAACTTGGTGATAAGAGCTTCCTTTTGCTGCCAGGACAGGACTGACCTCATGCATGACGTCATCAACGCCTTGAAGTCTCTTCGCCTTCGAACTCTCAAAGCTGAGATCGCAACCGTAGGTGGTCGTGTCAAGAACGTCTTGTTCCTTAGCCGAGATGGCGAAGAAGAGGATCTTGATTCATATGGTGATGGCATGGAAGGTTATGATGAAGGGAGGATGATGAGTGATCGTGTGAGTTCGATAGAAGAAGCGTTAAAGGCGGTTATAGAGAAGTGTGTCCATAATAATGATGAAAGCAATGATAACAGTAACTTGGAGAAGTCATCCTCAGGGAGTATTAAGAGACAAAGAACTAGTAAGATGGTGAATCGATCTTACAATTAGTTTAGTACGTTCCTCTCCATATTAATTAGATCGTCAAGTCTTTAATTAATTAGGGTTAGTTAATTAGACTTGCAAAATGGGATTATGGGTTGGTGGTGGTATTAGTATTTAGTATTTTAATTTTGGGTGTTTTGTTTTTATAAATTTAAATGGTTTGGGTTTCTTCTTCTATGCTTTTTTTAAATCTATGAAGAACCCTTTGTTTAGGGTTTTATAGTGATGGAGTTTGGTTTATATATTGTACTATAATTAAGACATTTTATCGTCTTGATTAATATAGGAAATGTAAAGAGTTTGGGGTTTGTATTAATTAATGAAGGATTGGAATCAAGAAGTAATTTTATGCTCATTAAATTCATTACCAACTAATTAATATTTTCTTGTATGCAACCAAACACCATGCATATAGTATGACTGGAAGAAGAAAGAACTGTAACAATTATGTCTAAATCAGATTTTAGATGTGCATGGCAAAAAAAATCGTCTAATATCGTACTCGTATCTTTTACCTTCATCTATATGTACTGTACATGTATATAATCAATGCGATATTTCCTAGATTAGACTGATGTGGAGAATTTATCAAGTGAAATCGAGAGGAGTAAGATTAGATCGAATCTTTTTCGTGGGAAGTGAGAACTTAGATATTTGTTCTATTTATAGAAACTTAGTTTTGGGATCTCTTACGATATTGTCTCTTTCGCCGTTACTGAACTTACGTTATTTATTATTATTACAGAGACAGTTGATATCAACAAGCACATTACGTCATGATCTCTTCTGTCACTTTTGTATCAATAGTTTTGTTTCCTTCTTTAGTCCCTCTCCAAAACTCAACGTATAACAACAAAAGAAAAGTTAATTTTGTAACCTAGATCTTACATGTTAATTAAACTTGGTTCAACACAAAACATGAAAATTTATATTCTTGAGTTTTTTTTGGACAGTTTCAGACAAATTTTAGATTCCGACGAGAGATATACTCCAAAATATAACCTACTAAGATTGTTTTAACTTTTATTAAAGAAAAAATAGAATTGTCGCATATCAAGACCCAAAAAAAAGAGAAGGACAAAAGTAAAAATTGATCCAGCTCGTAGACCCAATTTTGGCCCAATAAACTTTCTAACTTAAGAAAAAAAGCCTTATGCCAGTGGGATGAAGATAATAGACCCATGAGCTGATATGTTAAAGGCCCAATGTGAAAATGTTAAAGGCCCAATATGAAAATATAAAAAATGGCCTATACAGGGATCGAACCTGTGACCTTCGCGTTATTAGCACGACGCTCTAACCAACTGAGCTAATAGGCCAATGTGTTATACAGATTTCATTAAATTATTAGTACCTATTGTTTAGAAAAATGGATTTAAGATTTGACGATATTAGTACTTATTATTGTACAAACTGACGATAAATGTTTTAAAGTTCAAATTAATAAAAATTCTATGTGATATGATGTCTATATCTATTAATGTATCATAAGATGAGAAAATCATGTGCGATGTACTGATTGGAAAGAACACAAATATGAAGTGCACCTGGAAGAGAAGTCCATAAGTGTTGTTGAAGTACATGGAAGTGAATATATGCAATTATGTGGACCAATAATGTCGAATCTTTATTAAACATAATAATACTATAAAATAATATCACAAAAACAATGCACGAGGCCGAAGACAAAATCATTTATATTTTACTAGTTGGAAATTTGGAATAATAAAGACCAAAAACACTTTAGCTAGTTGGAATTTGTGATTATTAGTTGGATCCACACCATATGAAGGATCTGTTCAATTTATTCGGAAGAATGAACTTGGTTGAAAAACACAACATGCAATGAAGATACACACACTTGTATGATAAGATGAATTAACTAGCAGAATCATTAATGGAACAAAACTTAATTAACCTAGTCTTCTTTTATAAAATGAATTATGAACTTTTACTATTGGTGAAATCTTTACAGAATTGAGAATCAAGAATCGTTGTGGAATATTTGTGTGTGAAGCTTTTTTCCATATGTAGTGGAATATTTGAATAAACGTTTTCAAGATATTGAGTTCTTGAAACAATACTAAAAATGGAAATAAAAAAATAGTTGACAAATGTTACATAGGAATGTTTAGTTTTATTGGGTAATGTAAAATAAATCATTAAACAGGAAACTCCCCCATGGATGTGAATATCAATAAATAAAATTTGGACCCAAATATGAGAAAGTGACGAGAGAAGAGGACGACGGTTGTGGCCACGACGGCGACGGTGGTAGGACCTCCGTGTTGGCCCGCCCGCACGTGGTTGATCCTATATTCTTGTCTTTTTGACCGTTCAGCTTCTTTTGTATCTTCCTATATAACTTTGTGCGTCAAGATTTTCTTACTGCACATAGATTTTTTTCTTACTGCTCGTAGATTTTTCAAGAATTCTCCAATGTACTAATAATAGATGGATGTACAGACTCAATATTAGATTCTAGTGACCATGGCAACTAATTAAGATGATGTATCGTTGTTATATATGTACTACTTTTTTTTTGTAATGTCAAATTTATTACCAAAATGGTTTATTTACATGAGTGAGTGAAACAAACCGGTGGTTAAACAATCAAGCTTCTTTGTCCAATCCGGTATGAAACTTGCTCGAGCCCATGAGGTTTACACTCATTATACAAATGAGTAGGTACATGCAAATATATTATGGTCTCTCGTTTCATCCGCCTTACCATAATTCAAATGTTTGTAGAAGGTGAAATATGAATATAAAACCCTATAAAGATCTTGAAAATTTAAACTTCATAAATGGTTAGTTTCTACCATGCAATTTCTTGATATTTAGTTGAGAAGATTCTTTTAGCTCTATAAATATCTAAAAATATGTGTGGTTTAAGCTTATGAAGCTTTATAATTCATCAAAGAAGAGAAAAAAAGATCATATATGAACTTGACAAAATAAATAATAGGTGGTATAGTGTGTAGATGAGTACCAAAAACATATGGGCTGCATAGTTAAAGTTGGCCGACAACAGAATATCAATGGGACAATGATTCAGATTCAGTTTCTTCTCACCTGACATTTTGACCCCATTATTTTTTCTCATTTCTTTATCACCAATCTTTATATAGTTTTCTTGAATAATTCAGTGTTTAATGGTAGCAATTAATTTCGTATTTTTTATGATAATATTATGTAGTTGAAGTGGTTGTGACGGTCCTTTATCATTTACAATCTCTCATTCGAAAACTTTTGATACTTCAATAAACAATATTCTTGCTAATTTTTAGTTCAAATAATCACAAATTCATTTGAGATTCAAGAATCTTGAACACTGATAAGCTTAACAAATCAGTCGTAGTCTTTAGACAATATTGACGCCATTAAGTAAAAAAGTAAATTCACTTTTATTTTAGGTTTTTAATAGAAATAATATTGGATGTGACATCATACATGTCTTTCCAATATCATAAATCATTTGGCACCTAAGACCATCCTTATTGGGGTATCTTATGAGGCTAAGATACCCCTACTTTTCCAAAGAAAATCCTTACATAACATACTTTCTTTGAAAAAGTGGTGGTATCTTAGCCTCATAAGATACCCCCAATGAGGATGCCCTAATGGTCACGTCAGATTTAAATCATGAGGGACCAATCAATAATTTTGATATTGTGTCCTTTGATTTATATCTATAGTCATTGAAGCTTTGATTAGTTTAATTTGATAACTGATTAGAAACTAAACACACACATACATCATCATAATGATCAAAAAGTCTTGATGTGAGTCCAAAGAACTATAATAAAGTAGAGATATGACATACGTGGAGCACTCACATTACATATGATTAGACAAGTAACCAAAGAATATTTAAGTTATCTTCAAATCAATTAGCTAATCATTTGAACTAGGAAGAGGTTAGTTGGTTTGACTAAAAAAACGGGAGTTTTGTTCATGCATTAAAAATAGTGTTATACAAAACTTGTACCTCTCTCGTAATGATTATTGTAAATTTAATATTTGTAAATTGGGTTTTATGAACCAAAACTAACGTATTTGCATAATTGCATTCATGTCATTAATGAGATAGATTAATACTTGCTTGGTACTTACATAACTACAAAATTCAAGCTGGTTTCTTGATTTCTTAAAAATATATAGTTAGTTGAAAATTTATCATCATCCACCAAACTTCTTAAAACACAATTTGAAATTGGAAATTTTTGTGAATACATATTACGAACAGTTAGTTATGTTACCCTTTTATTATATTTTCCCTTAAATAAAGTTAAATATGGATTCATGCGGTCAAATACTTATGACAAACTCGTAAACTATGAAACCAAGTAAATCAAGAAATAAGTAAACAAGAACTAATCTTGGTTAGATTATGTGTGAGATATATATAAAGTTTAATTTACACAGGGAGCCATAAGGCAAAAGCCATTACAAAATTTGTCCCAAATTTTTATTCGTATATTTACAAATATACCTTCCCAAAAAAACTAAAAATATAATCGTATATCGAAAGTGTTCACTTTCGTCCCCCTAAGATTGACTAGCAAAACCCAAACCGGTTTCTTCCTTCATATCTTCTTGCGATCATAGGTTTGATCTGGTTAAGCTTCAGAGTATCACCACTTAGAATCAAACCAAGATCATCAATCTTGCCAACATAGGAGCATCACAACACATCGTTTGATGATATAAAGCTTAGCTCTTTGCTCTCTAAGAACACCTCCAAGACCTCTGCTACTCGAAACTCTTCTCTTCAAGACTCCCATATCTTATAGAGCTTTTCGTTTAGGTTTCTTCTGTGATCGTTTTAGAGCTGTGAATGTAAGAGAAAGTGATTAATTGAGATGAACTAAGGAAAAGGCTTCTTTTATAGAAGAAGAGAGTTTTGTGTAGGGACGACAACAAGTCGAAGTCGCGCGTGGAAGTGTTTCCCAACCCACCCGACACTGTCACTCACCATCCACTTGTGTTAAATGTCACACATCATTTTCAATGTCTTGTAAGATAACAATTATAAATTATAATCAATCGGTTTGTATTGGTGTTACCGTCCATTATTATTAGGATTTAAAAACGATTATAACACAAATAAAACGACATGCATTTATATGTGAGGGATTACATCACTTTTTGGAAGTTAACGAGTTTATTATTTCGTTTTTTCACCGTATAAGGACAAACGAATTAGACGATAAATTGTAAATAAAATGAAGAGATAACAAAATACATGTTGATTAAGGTGTAATCTATCATCACCAAAACCTAATGCTCTCGTATATATTATTAGGAGAAATGAGAATTTAAATCGGTAAAAATGCACGTGTGATTTGTGAAATGAAAATTCTCCAATTTCAAGATATCAAAGTTCTTATTGGTTGTCCGAAAAATGACTATAATGAATTATTGAACGATTATATGATGGTTTTCTCAATGTTTATGTGTTCTTATTTTATTTTATTTCTATTTTCATGCTTCCATCTTACATTTTTTTTTTATGATTCTACGTTTTTTGGTACCAAAAAGGTATTTTTCTTTTAACACTGAATTCATTTATTAATGAAAAAAGAGAGTTATAAAAAGATACAATAAAGGAAATAACCAAAAACCAGAAATCAAAAACTTAGCTAAACCCTCTGCGATCCCTCTCAACTCGATCATGCAGCCAAGAAGGACCTCCAAGTGCCAAATATGAATTGAACCTCCCATCCTTTGTCACACTACAAGCAATCTCCCTGGCTAAAGAATTAGCTTTCGGTGAAGAGAGTTTAAAAGACACCTCCCCCATCACCCGGATTACCTGAAAAATTTTATCTAATTGTGCTCGATACTTCGGCCAAGCTAAAGGATCTGATAACGCGTCCACTGCAGCATGACAATCAAGCCAAATCTCACACGAATCCTGATGGATGTCATGAAGACTGAGAAGACACCAGTAAAGACAATGAAGCTCAGCTGCAATCCGGTTAATCCGAGGAAGAAAGGCGTCTCTTGCATGATACAAGACATCTCCTTCGTGATTCCGTAATATCCAAGCTCCACCACAGAAATACTCCGCATTAACCCAAGAAGAATGAATATTACATTTCAATTTCCCCAATGGTGGTTTACTCCAACATCTCTCACTAGGCCTAGGCCGATGTGAAAGAAGAGAGTCCGAAACTAACACAGTTCGGTTTTGTTGTTTAAACCACTCCTCTGCATCCTCCATAGCTTTAACAATCAGGACATGAGCATCTTGAGTCCGACCTGCAAACACCAAATCATTTCGCGCCTTCCAAATCTCCCATAACAACCATGGAATAGCTACTCTAGACTTCACAGGGATCTCAGTCTTGTTCATGAGTTCACAACAATAAGCAATGTTGTCCACAGTAGATGAAGAGAAACCACGAGTCAAGATATTCAGTGGATACACAGCCCAGACCTGAGTCGCCAAATTACAACCAAACAGCACATGTGAGACTGTTTCTTCCTCCCTTCGACACACTTGACAAAGAGGATTAACTGCAACTCCATGACGTCTTAAACATTCAGAAACAACAAGAGCTCCAGCCACAGCCCTCCAAAGAAAGAGTTTAACCTTTGGAGCCATTTGAATGTTCCAAACAATTTCTTGTACCTTGTTAATAGATTGGTTGGTCACCGATATCGGATTGGATAACTCTCTCTCTCTATTCAGAAACCAATTACCACTCTTCACAGAATACATACCATCCTTAGAATAAGGCCACACAACACGATCTTGAAGTCTTGGTTCTGGTGGAAAGGATCGAATGCGAGTCACATCACAAGGAGGAAATAATGCTTGAAGAGCTTGATTATTCCAGTCTCCATGCGGCGAGATGAGAGATGAAACTTTAAGACTAGTATCAATCATCAACTCCTTATTGATCGGACGTCTAGGGAACTCATCAAAGATCCACTTATCGACCCAAACAGACGTGCTTGAACCATCGCCAATAGACTTCATAATACCTCGTTCAAGCAATTCCTTACCAAACAAAATACTCCTCCAAGCATATGATGGTCTATAACCAATTTTAGCGTCTAAAAATTGTCTATCTGCAAAGTATTTAGCTTTATAAACTCTTGACAATAAAGACTCTGAACCATGAAGAAGTCTCCAAGCTTGCTTTGCTAGTAAAGCTTGATTAAAACGCCCAATGTCTCTAAAACCCATTCCACCCCGCTGTTTGGATTCACAAAGCTTGTCCCAAACAACCCAGTGCATGAATGAATTCAGTGTTAAAAAAAAAAAAAGGTATTTTTCACTGCTTTTTTTTCATATTTTGTTTTGTTTCTTAAATGTTAAATTTTTATTATGTTTATCACAATGAATACTTATCTACATTTTGTTTGAACATGAATCTGATGAGAGTGAAATGTCTATAAGCCAATTATCTTGTTCATCATTTATAGTTTTATACGGTCACAAACCACGAACATGTATGCCCCTCTTTGTTCCCTCTTTTATTTTCAACCAAATATTTTCGAGACCCTTTAATCATAATAGATTGCAAGAATACAAAATTTTAAAGCTCTTCCATTAAAATACTCGTATTTATATATTTTATTTAAGTTTATATGTGAAAACCTAGTTGAATTTTAGAGCAAACTGAAAAGTGAAAATCGAATTTTAAGTTTTGATTCAATTTGCACAAACCGGATCAAAATATGGTAGTCAAAATACTCAAAAACAGTGATTATTTGTACATCTTCAATTATATAAGCTTATGAAATGTAATAATATAGTTTTTGGATAATTTAAAAATATTATATTTCAGATTCAATAATGTTATCATTTGGGTACCTCTTATATGTGGATAGTATGAAACAATTGAGTCTTTATTTTAAGAATATAATTTATGAATAATAATAATAATAACTTTTGTTTATGTGTTGGATCCACGTCAGTACAGTTAGACCTACCATTTGAGTTGAACATATATGGTGGTGCATTCACGACGTGGCAATGATGATATTGTAGGGATGACATGGTTCGTAGATACTACTAGCTAGCTAAAGCAAAAAGTGTTCCATTTATTTTACACGTACTTACGATGTAGATAGATCGAGTCATCAAATACAAGGTTAGGAACATAAGCAATTAGATTAACGTCATCTTCTCGAAAGAACTGATGTGGAAACAACTAATTATGTGGGAATATATAATTACGGTTAATGACTTTAATCTTGTTTAATTTGGTCTTTCAGATTCATTGATTCCTCAGCATCTCCTCTGCTTTTTCTTTTGCTTCCTCAAATGTGTTGCAGTCGCGTACAAGGCTTATATTGATACCAAAGTCTTCTTAAAAGAGGAGTTTCACGAAATAGCATTTAGGTTTTTGGAAACACTAATTACTAGAAAGCATACGAAATAGATAGGAAACAATTCCTAAAAGCCCTATTTTGGAAAACATGTAATCAAATCATGGGCTTTGAGTTAATTATGTTGGGCTTACGTTCGCGTTCAGGGCCTTGAAGATGCCTTAGCTTAGATATCACATCTGGGCCTTTATTTTTCAGGCCATAAGTTGTTTTCTCAAAAGTTTTGTTTTGTTTTGGTTTATAGTTTTAAAGATAAGCAAAGTTTTTTTTTTTGAATGAATGTAAAATTTATTCAACCAAAAAACCTTTGTTTTTACATTATATGCAACTGTAAATTGAGAAAATTTGAAAGATTTGAACTGAAAGCATTAACTAAAATTGATTAATATCTTGATGCTAACCAAACTCGGAAAACGTCTCTATATTGAGGCTTCGTTGAGGGGGTGAGAGTGCATAAACGATTTCGTATGACTCGATCAATCATCTTTGTGAGCTGGCCTGAAGGCTTTGGGGCCTCACCGAGATAAGCAAAGTTTTGGCCTATATTGATGGTGTAAGAAGGGCTGTTGTCAAATTTAAGAAATGCTTACGACTGTACACACAAAAGATATGCACTGTTAAATGATCAATGGCACATCTAGAAATTGTAATCTCCCTAATAATCATTAAAATAATTATACATATACATATATTTGTAAAGCATTTTTACACTTATTCTCATGTTTTTTATAAAAATGTAGAAATGTAGAAAATGATACTATGCAGTTCATTAATATCTCAGTTAATGCCTTATTTAGTTAATTAACCGTGATTTGTAGTAATGTAGTAACGTAAACGATATTGTGTTGTCGTAAGAAGATTAGAACATGTCGGTCCGTTTCTATGGTGTTACGACATTACGTACATTTACATATTTGGCAACTATGTATATATATATATATATATATATATATATATATATATTAGGTATTAGATAGAGCTCGTTGACTTGGTTGACCTTGAATATTCACTTTATCATGTGGTGGCGTCACTGCGTTCGTCATTATTTATCAATTAGAAATATAAATAACTAAAAGAATAAGCTAGTGGAAGTACATTTTTTTTTTTGTTATGAGCTCGTTTACAACAGAAAAAAATTCCCTAAAAATAATATCTTGAAAATATGCATATGCAAGTTGCTAAGTTAAATCAAAGTCGTTTCATGGGTGTCATGTCGGCAACGTGAATCTAACTTATTACAACAAATACAATAACCATATGAATCACATTTATATTAACAAAATACAAATCATATATACATACAACATATGATTCAAAATATTAAAAGAATTTGCTAACAACATGGATTATGTAGATTGTAACGTAATGATAGGATTATTTAAACTAGTAAATTATAAGATGATATATTTGTATACATTGAAAAGTATCATGTGAATAATTATTTTAAACTTAAATGACACGAAGCTGCACAAATCAACAAGTAAATGTTTAGAAAATTATATGGAAACTTTATAAACT